TAACAGGTTTTTATTATTTTTCCCCCTCATCTGGGCCACCCACCAGCTCCCAAGTCATGACATGGAGACTTACTAGTTATGAATGTTCCTCCCTCTCCCTCTCCCTCTCCCTCCCTCTCTCTCTCTCTCTCTCTTTCTCTCTCTCTCTGCCCACCAGCCCTGCCTGTCCCACTCCTGCCTGGCTATTGGCCAGTCAGCTTTTTATTAGACTACTCAGGTGCCTTACTTAGGCAGGGCAGGCAAGATGAAGCAAATGTAACACACCTTCACGTAGTCAGTCATATTCCACAGCATAAATGAATGTAACACATCCTTGCCGAGTTAAAATAATATCCCACAACAAGAAACAGTTTTAGGAAGCGCGTGATCCGCTCAGGCAGATAGTTTGGACAGGACAGCCCTTAACCAAAAATTCGTTTTGTGTATGTTTGTCAGAGCACATCTTAGAACGTCCACATGAAGGTGGCTGGAGCAGCTGCCTAAGCTGCTGTGGAACTTCTGCTTTCCCTGGTGATGGTGCTCAGGCTGATCCACAGCGAGGACTCTGCAAACCTGCTAGGTCCCCCAGCACGAGATTAGAGACATTGCATACCCACTGGCAGGTGTTTTAGTTCATCCTGGTTACTCCTCCGTGTTATTTAGATATCTGCATCGAAGGGCTGGATTGCCTCCCTCATCCAATATGTAGCAGCATAACCTCTTCCCTTCAAATCTTCAAACTAGTGTTAATAGGCTTAGTCATCATTGCCTGAGATCCTTTCTTCTTCAGCATGCAAGCTCTAAGCATCTGCCATGAGGTCTGTGCCTTTTTAAGATGTTGTCTTCCCGAGTGACATATTTGGAAATCGGTGCAATGTCATCAGGTGCATTTGAGATCGCTTTAAATAGTTTAACTAGTGTGTGACGTGCTTGCCTGGGTGAGTGTTCACATGTGTGTATAAGTGTGCTTGTGTGGGTTCACAGATACATGTGAGTGTATGTGTGGTTTACATCAGGTGTCTTCTTCAACCCAAACCTATTGACACATTCATGACTGAGCATGCACACCAAGCTGTAGCAATTATCTAAGCAAGGAATGGCCACCTCTGAGTATGCATGTCAGCCACAAGACACACCAGAGATACATTGCAGAGAAACGTAGCTGCTGGCTCTGATTGTTATCGTCGTGGCATGCAGACGCAGCGGGAAGGGCCCTTGTCCTTCCCACAGAACACACATATCACTTCCTGTTAGTTCTGTGGTTTGGTCACTCTGAAAGAGTCCCACTCTCCCACCCTAGAGATCTCACACTCAGGGCAGTTTTTCCCCCTGAAATTAAGACTTTTCCCAGCTCTGGTGTCTTCCTCAGAGCCACACTTCAGGAGACGGCAATGGGTCCTCCCTACCACACACTGCACCGGAGCGTTTAAGAGTACCGTTCGGCTTGGCTTTGGTAATGTTCCCACTTTAACCCCAAGTCAGTGCCTGCCCCTTCTCATGCTTTTTCTAAGCACCTTGGCCAGCTCACCTGGCTTGCCACTGAGCGTCAGTGCTGTGCCTCTCTGGCCCTCCTCTCCTTGTACCCGTGGCCATGCCTCAGTGGAGGGTGTACTGTCCTCTGGCTTTGTCTTTTTTGCAGCTGTATGGATGGCTTGGGAGGCACCCTGAATACTCCCTTGCTCTTCCCTATTTGTGAAGCTGGCTTTGTGTGTTTGTGGTATGTGCTATCTTTCCAGGAAAAAAAAAAAAAGTCCCCTTCACAGTATTCACCCCCCAGCCTCACTTTCCATCAGCAGCACCGAAGAGGAAACACATCCTTTTTGTCTTGGCCTCAGGGGAGCCAGGCACGGTACCAGGATAATGTCCCTGGACATAACCGGTCTCGAGATCCATGGAATATGTGGGTCATGGCTCTTCAGGATTTTCTGAGTGACTGTAATTGTAATCTAATGCTTCTAAAAGAGCAATAGACGTAGGTGAAGAGTTCCTGGTATCATGGCGAAACAGGGTCATTCTGAAAGTTTAAAACTGACTTCCCAGATTAAGGACGTTGGGAATCAAAGAAGAGAAAGATGCTCAAATGCCTGAACAGATACTACTGATGTGGTTAGGGGCATTGCTTAAAAGTAGTTTTAAAATATGCAGACTTGTTAACTGGCCTGTGAGGGTCTTCTGCTATGTTTAAAGTTCCTGAATTTAGTACTGGGTGACCTGGGGAGAAAGTGGATAGAATTCTGTCCTTACTCTGGGTGGAGGCTAAAAGTAAAAGTTACACAATTATACTCCAGACTGTAAGTATAGAAATGTTTGTGAACACACAAAAGCAAAGTTTAAAGCCTAAGATCCAGGTATATGAAAGAGCGTGTCTTTCTAGATTTGAGTTACCTTATTCTTCCTTTCTACTGGCCAGCTTTCATAGTGAATGGTGCTTTGCAGGCTATGGAAGAAAAGATATAATATCCTTACCCGGCACTGGAACCTACACGCTAAGATACTGACGTGCCGTGCAAAGTCTGACCACTGATGTGCATGGAGTAACCAACCACTTTCAGAATGCAGTTGAGGATCATTCCTCAAGGTGGAATTCACTCCTGGCATTACCCGTGTGGTCAAAAGCCCATGGCTGCAGAGGGCATAGTACCTTGAGTGGAACCAACTGTTATCCTTGCTAAATGGCTATATTGGTAAAAATTTCTCCTAGATATCTATGTTTATGTCTATAGACCTAGGCTGCTCTTGATCAAAGAAGCTTTATTGTTTTCAGTGAGTGATAGTCAATTCAAAGATTCATAATGGATCAAGGTTCTTAGAATAAGTGACTAAAAAAGTGCTCAGCCCTAAATAAGACATCTTTAACTCCTCCCTGACTCCTGCCAAGGCCGCAGGAACATAACAGAAGAGGGAGCAGAAATGATCTAAGAGCTGGATGGGAGGAGATATGTGCAATGCTGTCTTCTGAACACGCTTACCTGCACAAGACACTCATAAGAACAAACCAGCCAAAACCCCAGCAAGGATCAGGAAGGAGGTCATGAGGATTTAGCCCTAACTGAAGAGCTATTACAGTTGATCACTGCAAGAGAAGAATCATTCTTCTTTGAGGCTGTGGTTACTAGTAAGCTTGCACATGTTCTAGTGGATGGCCCAATCCATGCATGTATGGGTAGCACTAACTGGACTTAGTGGGTTATTTTTTTAAAGAAGGATAAGACTTGCATGGAAATTGTGATGGGGAATGGGAGGAGATAGAGGAAGCCAATAATATTTCATCGTATACATATATGAAACTCTCAAAGAATACATTTTTCAAAAAGATACACACAACATAACTGGCACTAAAAATTGATGGCTGGCCAGGCAGTGATGCATGTCTTTAATCCTAGCACTCATGAGGCACAGGCAGGCAGATCTCTGTAAGTTCTGACTTCAAGGCCAAACTGGTCTACAGAGAAACCCTGAGCTGTGAAAAAAACAGCTGTAAGAGGGCCATGATGAATTTCCCTTATCACCTTGAAACAATTGCTTTATGTTGAGAATGAAGGAGTCTTAAAATAAATAAAAAGGGAGTCAAGAGACGTTTCAAATCTAACGAATGCATTTATCAGATTTAATATAAAACATCTCATATGAAATAAACTTCATGTGTCAGAGTGTGAGTAATAAAAGAATGAAGCAAAGTTTTTATTTACCAAAAACTCCCACAGCAACAAAATTTCTTCTCATTCTATATTTTCATTAAGTATTTGATGTATTTGATAAATTTATCTTTTTTTTTGCCAGCCAATTAGCACATGAAGGCATGAGCTACAAAAATTACTTGAGAATCCCAATTCTTTTTGGGTTTTTTTGTTGTGTTTTGGGTTTTTTTTTTTTTTTGGTCTTTCAAAATCTACTATATCTATTCCAAACAATCTATGCGCTAGACTTTTCTAGAACATTCCTGGGGCAACCAGGCATTTACAAGCTTGCAAATAGATGGCTTTGGACTTCCTTGAATCTTCTCTGAATCTTCCCATGCAATGTCTACATCTACACACACACACACACACACACACACACACACACACATACATGCATGCAGACACATACACATACATTAGCCCACAGATGCATGCAGACACACACACACACACACACACACACACACACACACACACACACTCAATTCCCACAGACAGACAGCCATTGTTTTGAACCATGGAGAAGATCCCAGAATGACAGCCCCCTTTAAAGAGACAGAAGCATCTTGCAGTATCCAAGAGATGCATATTCTAACAGAGAGGTGTTGTGTGTGTGGGGGGGGGTTTCCTTTCATTTTGTTTTGTTTTATTTTGTTTTGCTATGCCTCTCCTTTGTCCTTATCTCAATATGCTTTCCCTGCTCAGACCTGTTTCCCACAGAGCCAAGCATGCATGAGAGCACTTACTGCCATCAACAGTAAGAGCCACATTCACAGAGCGACCTTCCGGTCCCCTTGTGAAGTAGGAATATTTGAACTCTGATTTTAGAGATGAGGAAACTCAAGTAGAAGCTGGGTGAAATTCCAGAGCTCACAAAGGTAGCAGAAAAGCCAGGGTTGTGGCTCCAATTGGGCTGACGGGTCCAGACCACCCTCTCAGCTGCCATTTGAAACAGCTAATAAAAAAAACAGCAAGCAATTGTTGTCTGTTTGTTGCAGTTTAGTAGCTCATATGATCCTACCTATAAATGCCCTAGATAAAGTCAACGAAAGCCTTAGGCTCTAAACCTGGAAGACCAACTGAGTTCTCTAAATTTAGATGTATGTCTGACATGGACAGTAAAGAGGTGTTGAGGCTTCCCTTTCCAAAGGTCTTGTGCAAGGTCTAAATAATACATAAGGCATCTTGCCTGATGTCTCACTGAGCTTCCAAGAAATACCTTACAACACTGAACTCAACCTGAAGCCAAGTGCCTTCCCTCACCTCGTTTCCCTGCTCAGAGTACAGCTTTTCTACCCGCTGCTTCCGACTCCCAAGCCTGGTGGAGAAGTATGCACCCTGGACGAGGTAATAAAGACGAGCTCATAGAAAATGCCTTGCTCTGGGGCGTAGGTGAGCTTGTGTGTGTGTTTAGCCCCACCCTTGCTGAATGTGGGGTTAGAATGCAGATAGCTCTAGGGCAGTGCTCCTCAACCTTCCTAGAGCTTAGACCCTCTAATATACAGTTCCACATCTTGTGGTGATCTCCAACCACACATCATTTTTATTGCTATTTCGTAACTGTAATTTAGCCACTGCCGTTATATTTCTTCGAAGACAGAGGCTTGCTAAAGGGTTCGCGGACCCACCCACAGATTGAGAACCGCTGCTCGGGAGGGAAGGCAGAATAACAGATGGATTTCTTGAGAATCCCAAGGTCTTCTGGGAGTTCAGGTTTTGCTTCCTCTGTGGTGACCCAATGACAAATCTAATCTTCTAACTGGGAGCTGGAGGGTTGGTCACAGAATTGGGTACTCTGAGTGACAGACCCTGTTGTGAACAGGCGGTGCAGTTCTGCTCTGCTCAGTTCCCTTCATGGAGCTCGGATTCTTCTCGCCATGGCTTGATGGTTTTTGCGGGCATCAAGTAAACAAGGTTCTTCCAGAACCTCGAGTTATAGGAAAGCGAGTTGTCAGCCTTCCATTTGAGAACTCTGTAGGGCTTCAGGAGCTTCAGCGACGGGGGCAGGAAGGTGAGGTTGCTGGCTGGGGGAAACTCGATTAAGATGATTTTAATCTTCCTCTCCACCAGCGCCTTGTGGAGGCCACTCTCAAGTTCAAGCCTGGTTCCATGAGCCAGGTAACTTTTGCTGAGGAGGATGATTAGCCTGCGGCTCTTCTCTATCAGTGAGTGGATCTCGTCAACAACAGCTAGAAGTTCAGAGAAGGACAGAGGGACAGCTATTATTCCATCATCTCCTTTTACAGGGTTTAACTTCTGGCTGCACCAACAAGGTTTTCTTTAAAATAAGCCAGTTTTGGCTATACGTAGTCACTCAGAAAAAAAAAAAAAAAAAAAAAAAAAACACCCACATAGCAATAATCGTGAGCGCCCACTTAGCACTTACTGACACTACACCGTCTTTAAAGTTTTGTGTATATTGATTTATTTCACCATCACAACCACCTCATAGAAAGGGGTTGGTGCCACCACCATTTTGCCAAAGCACAGAACAATGAAGAATTTGCCTGTACCACACATGGGTGAGTGACAGGCAGACTCAACCCAGTTACAGACAAAAACCACAACATAAGCTGAGCAAAAACGCCCATTATTTTAGACCAGAGGCAGGAAAAGCTTGTCCCTAAAGGACTGAGTCCCACACGCTTCAGGTACCTTTTTCTTTCTTGCCCCAACAGCTCACCTAGGTGATACACAAGAGACCATTTGTGGCTGTGGCTAAATAAACATGACTAGCCAGCCACGCTCTGGACCCCAGGGAGTCCAACCGAGCCTGGTGACAATTCAGCATTAAAAAGGAAAAGAAACAAAACAAAACTTCATTCCTTTTTACTTAGGAACTTAAAAGAAATTCAAGAAAATGGTAGTAAGACTTTGGGCCCATACTCTTGAAATAACGATGTATTTCTCCTCCTTCTCCTCATCACCCCCCTTCCTCATGACTCCCTCCTCCTTTTACTCTCCCTCCTCCTCTTAGCTAATTCTTAACATGCATGTGCACCATGCATGCGTGTATGTATGTGTACATGGGGTTCAGAGTTTGGCACTGAGTGCCTTCCTCTTTGTTTATTGAGACAAGGTCTCAGAAAAGGAAATGCCTGTGCCTCTCCTCAGTTGACAGACCTGTGGTGCAGAATGAATAATGTTCAAAAGGAACGGCTGGAGTTATTTTTCTCAGTATGTATTTTCGTGATAGTGAAAATTTGTTTAGCTAGACTGACATGATTAACTATTAACTAGCCATCAACCGACAGGTCCCCCGCTGCCTTAAAGGACTTTGGCCGTTTGTACATTTTTTAAGGTAAACTGATAATCGCCTCATTAAAAAAAAAAAAATCTCCATTAGCTGTCTGTCCAGGATTCCCTTTCTTACCTCCTCCAGGCACCACATCTCTTTCAAATATGCATAACTTATACCCAAATTGATTCTCCAGAACCCTGGGCAGCATCTCCACAGCAAAAGTGTACTCTTCTCCATTTTCTGGAGGATGCTCTCTCAGGTAAGACACAAAAGCATCATATGTTTTGCCATCTAGGGAATAAGATGGACTCTGTTAATTCGTGAATAAGAAAAAAAAATTTAAGTAAAAAAATTATGTGAAAGTCATACGCAAAGATAATAAAATTATCAATTGTCAAATCTCAGATGCACACCAAGCAGACAATTTCCTAAACACCTGTTCTAAGCATCTGCTTTGAGACTCCCTCCCACCACAGAGAGGGGTGGGGAATAGCAATCCGGACACTGAGGCCTAGAGGCAACAAGACACGGGGAAGCCCAGAAGAACCTCAGTCTAGGACTGGGGAGTAAGTCACACTTAGGCTCTACACACGACATGTTTGACCCTCTAAAGATCTCTAAAAAATAAAGTCAAAACGAAGCAATGCAAAGCAAAAGACCCAAATGAAACTGGGAACACACCCCGAGAGAGTGGAGGAAACCCTAAGGATACTTGGGAATGCGGTAGATACTGACTGACTTGAAGGGTGGACGCACTCAGATTTTTATTAAAATGAGATAGGATGCAACAGCTCTGGGTCTACGCTTTGACATGCCGTGCCCGATGGCCCAGATCTGTTTCTTCACGTTCAAGTTGGCAAAACAATGCCTTCTCTTTCTGGCAACAGCTTGTTCAACCCTTCTCACAGTGTTCTCTGCTCCAGCGATTTAAGTCGGGCCCTGTTGCTGATGTAAAGCAGAGACCATGAAGAAAATATCACATACAGACTTTCCAGTTTGCTGTCTCATATCTTTTCAAAGAAAGATCATACATACACCCAGGCTGAGTGCCAAATTCCCTGTGCCCGCTAGCTGTATCATTAAAAATTGTAAGTGTGAAAAACAATGATGCAATCTTATTATAAGATAAAATAATAAAATAAATGAGTTTTAAAAATCCCAGAGGAGCTGATATGAGAATCACTTTGTATCATGATGTTAAGGGGTAATTTCTATTTACAGACAAAACTTAGATATATGGATATAGATATAGATATAGATGATATAGGTATAGATATAGATATGGGTATGGGTATGGATATAGGTAGATATAGATATAGATATTTGGGTCTCCCACATAGTCACACCGCAACACACAAGACAAATGACAGCATGGGGATATTTACCTTTCACGTTATAGATACTAGGCTAACCCCACCTAAGATATAAATAGTGTCTGCAAATACGAAGGAAGAAAAGAAAGCCCAGTACAGAATGGGCCAAGAGTGGATATGTTGACAAAGGAGACACAAATCAATGCTGAACGAATGGAAAGGTTGCTTGTGTTTTATAACACCATAAAATGAAACACAAATTAAAGCTACTCAGCCCCAAATCCTCATCTATCAAACCGCCGGAAATCCAAAATTGTGGGGGTGGGACTACGAGGGTCAGTCAGTGCCGTCCTTTGTAGGTGGCAGTAATATATAGCAGTGTGGAAGGCAACATGGTAACACCTATCAAAGGAGCACTGGTACCACAGAAGAAGACTTCCCTCTGTCAGCACAACGCGAGTAGGAAGCAATGATGGGTGATGTCATTAATCACAGCATCCCTATAACAGCAAAGTGTGCAAAAGCTCCAACACCCGTCAGAAGGAGAGTAAATACAGAGAAATGCTTACACAGGAAGGACTCACTGAGGACCACTGGCTGTGAGAGCACACACCTGTAAGCCCAGCAGTTGGGAGATGGAGGAAGGGTGGTGCACAATTATAGAGAGGCCAGTCTGGGCTCCATGAGACTCTTTCTCAAAGACAGATATGCAGGCAGGCAGGCAGGCCAACCCTAAAGATAAGGGATTTCTTCAATAACATGGACAGACACACGCAAAACTAAAAATAGTGACACAGGGTAATTAAACAAAGATTTTTTTTTTTAAAGGCAACATGAACAATCTATGTCAACGGTTTATTGGTTATAGGAACAGGTGGGGACATTGTAGGTATCAGAGACCTTGGCAGGACAGGAGAAGGTGTCTTGCTGCATATTTACAAAGTTTGGATTTGACCTCTATAATAGTTTTTTTTTCCCCCTTAAACACAACACATACACACATAAGCAAAGGCAACAATTTAGATTAACCATTTAAGGACATAAGTATCTTGAACTTTGGAGATTTCTCATCACTTTTAAAAAAAACATTGAGAAACAAAGCCCAGTAGACTATTAGGCAGCAGCTAACAGCTGGTGGGCTAGCAGACGAAAACTGAGATTATTTGGCTTCTAACCAAAAGTTTTTCCAGGTAGATTATACGGCCTCCTTTTCCTAGTAAAAGTAATGAACCAGAATGACGCAAGACTCAATGAAAGCAAACTTTATTGAGTGTGTGTCACCTATAAAGTACGCAGTGATGTGTGTATAAGCACAGGGTGTTTAGGAGGAGACAATGGGCAGACACAAAACACCAAGAGGAAAAAACATCTGGAAAGTCACAAACAAGCCAAGACCGCACAGCACCCTAGCCCCCGCCCCCAAACTGGGGACCTATTTCAAAATGAGATGCGCATTCATGTTTCCTTTATTGGGTTTAGGCAGGAAGGAAAACGTAGACTAGGATGTCATGGCTTTCATGGTATGTTACCTGTCAGTGTCTCATCTCTTTCCGCCAAGCGTCTGTAGAATAGAACTAAGTCGACTTTATAAATGACACACAAAGTCACCACACACACTACTGCCACCGAGATGAAAACAGCCACAATTATCCCTCTCATAAAGACATGGCCCGGGATATCAGCCATCTCTGCAGGGGGGGGGGGGAGAAGACACAGAGAGAAACAGGGAATTGTGACTCAAAGAAATGTGGCCATAATTTCCATCATCACATCACAGTTGTGAGTTTTTGCCATTTGGATATATGTCCCCCAATGTTTCCATATTCCCCCTAGTTACCCACCCTGCTTCTGGTAGTCTGCAATGCAGATCTTTCTACTCCAGCTCATCAGTGCATACAGGGACACCCAGAGACCTTTAGTAAAGGCATGGCCACTCAGCCAGTCTCTATCTGCGGAGTTTGCACTTGTGAAGGGATAATATGCTAGGGTGGGACATAAAGAATTCCAACTAGGATCGTAGTCAGTGGACAAATAGTGCATGATTGTCAGCTGAGACACGCTGGACAGAGAAGTCTGGGTCCAGTCTGGCTCCATCGGATCCTCGAGGCTTCTAATTCCTAACGTCTTCATGTGCAAAGTGAAAATAATAAACGGACTCCTGCTTCACTTATAGGTGGTGAAGAACGAGACACTCACTCTACTGAGTGCTTAACAGTACCTGGCACACAGCACTCGGGCCTTTAGAAAAATTCTAGACGAATGCCCTTTAAGACGGAGTCATATCCCCTGGATTGATTAAATTTGTGGTCAGCATAGATGAACATGAAAGATGCAGGAGAGTATAAAGAATAAAATAATTCTTGGCAGCCATCCACGGAGTTGGTGATGGCCACAAAACCTGAGTAAGCTGGAGAGACCACTTGGTGGTAAAGGGGGCCTGGTACTCTTGCAGGAGACTTGGATTTGGCTCCCATCATCCACATGGAGGCTCACCGCCATCTGGAACTGTAGTCCCAGGGGGAATCTGACTCCCTCTTCTGGATTCTGTGGGCAGGAAGCTCACATATGGTGCACAGGCTTACCAGTCATACACATAAATAAAAATAAATAAATCTTTTGGCCCTGAAATTTTTACTTAGTTGAGATTATATTATAATCATACTTTATTTCCTCATGGGACAAACATCCTTTCACAATTTACTCCTTCATAATAATTCCAATTTTTCATACGTTTACACAATGCTGCTGTGACTACATATACACCACATTTTTTTCTTTCCCCTTTCTGCTTCTTTTTAAGAAGAGCTACTGATGATGTGGAGATTTCTACACCAGACAGGAAAACCATGACTGAAACTTTTTCTGCCCTACTATGTAGCATACATTTAGGGATAATGTTGCCAGTAAAAAAGCAGCCATTCCATTAAGTGTGCAATTATGTGTGTTTAATAAGCTAACTCTTAGAAGCTGCACACAGGGGTCCCTACATCTCTGAAAGATCTGTGGATCCCTGATGAGCCAGACATGGGAAGATCCCACTATCCAGGTGACATTTGTGAATTAAGAGGAGCAATGAGAAGCAGAAGCTTCTGGTGTGTGGCCTGAGGATGTGGGTGGTGTCTGGTGCTGAGCAGTGCCCAGAAAATACAAACACAGCATCAGATAACCAAAGCATCAGGTTGCGGTGCCTCTGCTTCATAAACACATATAACTGACGCTCACGTGACCAGAGGGGCAGGACACCAGAGGCAATCCTCATGAAAAGGAAGCACAGGGATCTATAAGCTGCAAGATTTGTCACCTTCTCTTACTTTGTGATCTTAGATGGGTTTCTTCTCCTCCCGTGAAAGCTTGTCGTAGAGATTGGATAAAATCTCAGAGAACGCTAGCAGGGGTTGTCAAGAGGAGTAATGTGTCCCTTACCTTTTTTCACCAATATGAAGCTTTTGGTGTCTGTGGATTCCTCGTTGGTCACCGTGCAATTATACAAAACGTTGAGGTTCTTTTCAGTAATATTCCGAATTCTCAACTTTTTAAGAGCATGCAGTTTGCCCTCAGAAGTCCTGTGATGTAAGAAAACAATTGATCAACAGGTCTTGCTCATGGCCAGCAAATCTACTCAAGAGAAGTTATATGTCTGCAATACTTAAATGAAGCAACAGTTGTGTCTTCCACTTCTGGTGTGAATTAAAATTAGTCTCCTCACTCTTCCAAGGAGCAACGGAACTCAGAGGAAGGCGCCCTCCCTCCCTCCCTCCCTCCCTCTCCCACCCCCTCTGTGTTTCTCTTTCTCTTTCATACTTCTCCTTCCTAATTATGTGGGATTCATCCTCCTACATTGTCACCTCTTCTAACCAAGACCAGCCAGTTTTGTGTTCTGAATTGTTCATTGCTATTGTTGTTCTTTAGTTACACTTACAAGAATAAAAGCTGGGGAAGAGGGTGGGGGTGGTCCCGAGTGAGCGTCCCAAGTGAGCGGGGTCCCAAGGTGAGGGACCACGTGGGAGAGCATAGCAGGTCCCATAGCAGGTGAGGGTGACCGAGGCGGGAATAACACGCCAGGCAGATAGAGCTTAAATGAGGAGTTTATTTAGAAAGGGGAGTGAGGGGGGAAGGGAAGGGACATAGAGGCACCTGGAACAGAGAGAGAGAGAGAGAGAGAGAGAGAGAGAGAGAGAGAGAGAGAGAGAAGGAGGAGGAGGAGGAGGAGGAGGAGGAGGAGGAGGAAGAAGAAGAAGAAGAAGAAGAAGAAGAAGAAGAAGAAGAAGAAGAAGAAGAAGAAGAAGAAGAAGAAGAAGAAGAAGAAGAAGAAGAAAGCATAAGCGGGCAGGGGTCTGACTTTTAAAGGGTCCTTTACCCCTGCCTGCAGATGAGTACTCATGGAAGCCTGGGCTGACCAGAGCACTGCCTGAGTGCATTCTGCCAGGTTGACAAGGGCAGGCCAGAGTAATGCCTGAGTCCTTACGGCTATAAGTAAATTCCTGGGTAGCCGGACTCTATGAAGACAGGAGGTTTGTTTAGCTCACATTCAAAAGGCTCTGGCAGGGTCCCTGGGCTACATCGTATCACAGAAGCAGCATCTATGTATTTATATATGGTCTCTCTCTCCCATGCTATAAAGCCTTTGGAGTTCAACCACAGCTATGGTGATTTGAATAAGAATAACCTCAAATGGGCTCACAGATTTGAGTAGAGAGCTGCAGATTTTGAAAGGATTAGGAGGTGTGGTCTTGTGGAAGGAAGTGTGTCATTGGGGGGGAGGGGCTTTTAGGCTTCAATGAGCTCTTTCCAAACCCAGTGTCTCTCTCTTCCTGTTTATTGCAGATCTGTTTGTAAAACGTTCAGCTACTTCTACAGCACCACGTCTGCCTGTACAGCCCCCACGGTGGACTAAACCTTTGAAATTGTAAGTAAGCCTCGATATTCATTTTTTTTAATATATGAGTTGCCATAATCATGGCGTCTCTTCACAAAATAGAACATTCACTAAGATAACTATCTAACCCAGTCAAACTACATTTTGAAGGACTGACCCTCTTAATGACAGAGTTGGTTTAATCTTCCATTCCCAATACATTCAAAAGACACTGGGAGTCAGACTTCTCTGGGAGTTCAAGATATGACAAATCACATCCAAACTCCATTGCTCAGTGGTTAAGAGAACAGACTACTCTTCCAGAAGACTTGAGTTTGTAGTGAGATATTCACTCTGTCCGCACCTGTTGCACTGACCATGCCCATTGGGGTGGGGAAACCAGGTCTGGGGTAGGGACCCTGGAGCACTCTCTTGCTTGCTGGAGGGAGACAGAGAACATCTGGAGGCATCCTTGGGACAGGAAACTGCTGGTGTTCCTCTGTCTCTGTTGTGAGTTATTTCCCCTTGAATAAACATTTATTCAGCCTGCCCCGATCCTTTTTAATCCACCATAAAATGCATGCCATTTGTACTTTTGTGACACATTAATAACAACAAGCATTTGACACTGTCTCCAAAATTTGAGAAACTATGGCCCAATTTGATTGCTCTTTTAGGAAGAACTTGGATCCTGCCTAAGTAGTACCTTGATAAAGCGATGCTAAATTCCTCACCAACATTCTCGTGACTCTTCTTTTTCAACCTGGATCTGTACAGTAAATGTCTGCACGATCCATTGCCTTGGAACATGGTAATGATAATGATAAACAAGTGGTAATTACAGTTCAAGCTAACTTAGGCATCGCACCAGCCACCCAGGAGCCCAACACCTCTACTGTTGTGTGCACACATGAGTTTTTACAGCATGTACCACCACACTTCTTACATGTCACATGTGCTTACCAAGTTGTCTTGTTGGTGTCTTCGTGCACATTGGGGTTTGAGCTGTCTTCTTGCCTGATGCTCCAATAAAACAGATCATTTTTATTCAGTAAAGCTGTGCAGTCAAGTTCCACATCTTTTCCTAGGCAGAGGTTGACAATCTCAGTTTTGAATTTAGAAACTTGGTAAAGTTTCAAATACAGTCAATGTGTGATAATTGAATGTAAAATTGCACCACATCCAGGAAGGAAAAAAAAAATGGATGAGATGCTTCACTTTAAAATTGTAAAGAATAAAGGGGGAAAATTATGTAGCAATGACTAGTCATCACCACGTAATGAACTGACTTCTATTTAAATATTCACTTTTAAATCAATTCTTAAAATTACAGGGTCAGTGCATTTTTTTCCATCTTCAATTCAGTAGACAGTGTCAAGCCAATTTCTCTCTTGAACTACTAGGAAAACAAAATGGGTATAAAATACAAACCAATAACTTTAAAAGGGAAAGGCATTTCACGGGGAAAGAATGAGAAACGGTAAGACTGAACGTGTGGTTGAGAAAGATCCCTCCCGTGTAAGTAAACGTGAGCAGCCATCTTATTTATAAGGAATTTGTTGGAGCTGAAATGAGCAGAGTCTCATAAAGCAGAATCCCATCCTGTGGGGTCTGGGGGCAGCTGCACAGCTCGTAGGAATATCAGGAAGAGCTTGGATACATGAGGTGCAGGGCTTGATGATGTCTTCTAAGGGCTCATGGACCCTTACCAGGATGCTCTACCAGGATGTCCTAAACTTTCTCCATTCACTGCTCCCTGACAGCCAATAATTTTTTTAGTGACTTGAGTGTATGGGTCTATTAAATAGGCATCGAAATTAAGCACTGACTGAAAAATAAGACATGAGGAAATGTAATTTAAAGTGATTCTTTGTTGTACACATACGTTTACCATTTTTATTGAAGACAAAAACCAAACCTGCATGCTGATGAGACGATGCGCTTGTTTGGATTTTATGTGGGGGATTAAATACCGACTGAATGGTTGGTAAGTCGTGAGTGTTCTTCAACATTATTTAGAAATGTTCAAAGTTTGATTTTATAACCATCAAAGATGAGACCACTTTGCATAAATACTTAATACAAAATGGCAGAATTATATCTAGGGTCATTTTAGAAATTCTATCCCAATAGCAAACAAAAATTTCCTCCACCCATTTTTTATTTTTAAATAAAACTCAAGTCTGCAACTCAAGCAGCCAATTTTAAAACGAAGCACTCTGACACAACACAGCCTAAGGGTTCAATAATTTGATACATGCTGAGGTGTAAAAGGTGGGAAACACTAAAGGTATTTTTGTTTTATGTAATTAAACCATTATACGTCTATAAGACCAGAAACCTTTATGTGCACAGCAAAAAGGTTGTACTAACACACACACACACACACACACACACACACACACGTCTTGAACTTTGCAGGAAACACATCAGTATTCTTCCATGATGACACATAGGGAGGAGGAATGTCCAATGCAAAGTGTGTATGTTGTGTATTAAGAACTGAGGCTGTAGTGAACTGTACAAGACAACTCTCGTGATCGCTCCTGGAAATGTCTTGGCTTCTTTGCGCCATTGCATATTCAGAACTTTTACTTTTCCCAATTTTTTTTTATGGTCCCCATGTTCAATTATACTGCCCCGTATGTGGTCTCAACTTATCACCTTAAGAAGTTAGCAAAGGTCCACATCCGCGACTACAGTATTCTCTCCAACCCAGGCTATTTAGATACAAAGTGGATTAAATACAGCACATCTGCTTCCAGCCACCCCAGATGAGTTCTGAGCAGACTGAGGTGATTGTGATTTACTTGGCCTGTGTGTCAATAATTCAAATTTCATACCATGGAGACAATAGCCTTCTACTTGGTTGGAGAATATATTTCAAAATTCTCAAATCACTCAGCTCAATATCTGGTTTAGCATATGCAAATTTATTCCATTCCTTCTTTGCTTTTATTTTTTAAAGAAATTACATCATTGTGCACACTTAAGATTTGTGTAGACCAGTGGTTCTCAACATGTAGGTCCTTTGGGCTATTCTGCATATCAGATATTTACATTATGATTCAAAACAGTAGAAAATTATAGTTCTGAAGTAGCAATGAAAATAATTTTATGGTTGGGCGTCATAGCAACATAAGGAACTGTATTAAAGGGTTGTAGCATTAGGAAAGTTGAGAACCAGTTGCCAGACATATCCTAAAAGTCTAGCCAATTCCATCCATGGCCAAATATTCAGAACAAATCTGAATCATATCTCCATAGTGTTATCACCAAATTTTCATATTTTGAAAGGTCAATAGACAGAGTTAGAAAACACACACATACACACACACACACACACACACACACACACACACACACACACAAATAGCAGCAACTGCAGTCTATAAACCAAAGACGTTTGAACAGATGTGTCGTTTAACTGGTCTAAAAGTGGCAATAGTCAAACGATTACATGCTTTTCCTCACTCTGTAATATTTTCCAATAAGTATGTAATGGGTTGTATCAATCAATAGTGGGTAGATTTAGCCTTTGAGAACTCAATAACGGCCCCGTTTGTAAATTCAGAAAACCCACATTGCAAAACATACCTAGTTCTACTTTAACAGTGTCAAACTTTGGTCCCAAAATAGCTGGAGTTATTTTACTGCTCCCTAAAAGCAAAACAGAACAAACAAACAAAGCATTAGAATTACCTTGAGTATATCTAAGAGACACATCTGTTGTATGTAACATGGTCACCTCACGTAACAAAGAATTCCAACATAGCACCTTTCTCTTATCCATGATTATGCTTTCTTCAGTTCAAGTTATTGTAAGACAACTGTGGCCCAAAAATAATATATATATATATATATATATATATATATATATATATATATATATACACACACACACACACACACACACACACACACACACACACAACTTAAAGTAATTAACTTGTAACTTTTAAATTGTGTGCCATTCTAAGCTTTCCACCCCTCACCACCCAAACTAGGACACAAATTATCCCCTGGTTCGGTGTCTTTGTGCATTATAAACTACCAGCCCAATTATCATGGCATTGCAATATTGTGTTCAGATAACCGTTACTCTATTCCATCATGACCACAAAGCGCAAAAGTATCGACACTGGTGATTTTTGTCTCAGCATATTGTTAAGTTTTATCATTAATTACAACGGTTAAGCTCTCGCTGTATCTAATTTACAAACTAAATTTTACTGTGGGCATGCATGTATACAAAGATAGAGCACATACCAGGTTTGTTTCTGCTCGTGGAATCAGGCACCTGCTAAGCCTTGAGTTTTATCTGTGGATAACTGAAGTCATTGCTACATATTTACTTGTGTTAACCCAGCTCATATTAATTACTGAAGCTTCGTTGTCAGCTACATGTATGTTCAAAGTGCTGTTGGTAGGATCTTCCACTTGGTATCCTTTAAAGTCAAACATTGCCTCCCGCCCAACAGAGCTAAAGCCAGAAACACGCTCATGTAGGGAGTCTGCTGCCGGTCACCGAGAGGACCAAATATTCAGGACGCAGAAGATGGACAGCGCCACTAAGAAGTACCTTTCTGCTCTACATCTCTTCCTCCTTCTGCCTTCGCCATTCTCTCACTGATACATTTTAACAGAGCATAGTAAGACTGGGATGAGTCTTGTGGGGCACCTCTCCCAGGCAGCAGTACTACCCTTGAGGATGTACAGTCTCCAGGCATAACCATGTCCAGGATGCCTTACCTGACTCTGCCTGACCCTGCTGTGCAAATGTGTGGGCCCAGAACCATTACTGTTTCTGGTGAATTCTGGCCCTAATCAAAAGTATGCAAGCTTCTCCTTAGCTCCCTTACTTAGGAAGGAAGGCTTTCCCCAGAAGCTTACACACTTGTTGGGAGCATAGCATGAAGATCCTTGCAGCCACAGATCTCCAGGGAATGTTAAGTATACGTGGTTGTCTTTCCAATGGGAAAGATGAGAAACTTGTTCTTCCATCCAGAAAGCTGAGAATTGGAAGTGAGTAACAGCCTGCTAGTCTGTGTTATCTGTTGACTCAGGCCATATCAAGCTCTTACAACCAAGTCAGGAGGTGGTTAGTAACCTAAATGACCCTGATAGCCGGAGACTCTCCAGACCCTCACAACCAGGAACAGCGGTGACTAACAGCCCAAATGACCTCCATGCTATCTTTATGACTCAGCCCAGACCAGACCCTTTGGTCCTTAAGCTAGTATAGGTAGAATAGCTGTAGAAACCTTTTTCTTGGAAACAATGTCATGTAGCCTGAGTTTCAATGTAACTGTGCTTCCTTATGCAGTGGGGATTGTATTACACCAGGAAACTTTATGCCAAAGTATACTGGGCTTAAATACAATGGAAATAAATTGCTTGCATCCACTAAGACGTCTGATTGGAAATAAATTGCTCGCTATTAAATTTCACTAAGATGTCTGATCCAAGTTGATGAAGTCAATCTGTACTAGGTTTTCATTCTTGTATCTTCGGGGGGTTCCCTTCCCTGTATGATGCCTGTAGGGACCAACACACCAACACACACACACACACACACACACACACACGTGTTAACTTGCACAGTCTATGGGAGGCTCATAACCAGAGAGCACCAAAAGCCACCATTGATTGGCTCACGGTCTTAGGGAACCTGGGGAAGAAAGGAGCTAGATAATTATTTGTTTAAGGTCATAACATGGAAACTACGAGGAAGAATGTGTGAGATGCTCCAGCTAGAGCAGAATGCCCATCCCTGGAGAGTATGTGTGTTAGTGATGAAGAGTCTCATCACTTCTTTAAGGAAGAAAAGGAAGAGTGTGGCAAAGATGGATAAGAGGGAGAAGAGGAGGTGTGTGAGTACCAAAGGACCAGAAGATATGTACACAAATTACATGTGTATATGTGGTATACACTGAATATGCATGCAAACCTAGGCTGAAGGAATTAGGGCAAGTGATTGTAGATAGATTGCAGGAATTCTGAGTTGAGAAATTCAGGGATGGGATTCCCAGGACATCGTTATAATAGGCACAACCATCCTCGGCAAAGTTAAGGCATCTTAGTGCCCAGATCTTGTGAAAAGCATGATGTTGTCTGATGCTGTAGGTGGAATATCCCCTGTAAAATTCATCTGGAAAGGTAGTTGCCCAGGGAATGAACAGTGTTAATAGAATGATGTGTTACAGGTGGTTAAGTGGTGATGGTTCCTCCCTCACCCTCAAAAACCAATTGTCATTATGGGCAAATTGGGTTAGTTGTTATAGGAGTGGTTCCTGATCAGAAGGATGAGCCCAGTCCAGTTTTTCTATCTCACAATAATAATTTACCCTCAAGTTAAACGGTGATGCAGCATAGAGGTCTTCTCAGGGCTGAGGAGGCCGCTCAGTGGGGTTGGAGTACTTAATGTGCTAGGATGGGACCTGAGTTTGAATCTCGAAAGCCCATTTAGCAGGCTAAGCATGACCTGTAGCCACAGAACTTGGGGAAGGAAACAGGCAGATCTTGGAAGCTCCCTAACCAATTAGTCTAGCCATATTAATAAGCTGCTTGTTTGGATAAAGATCCTGTCTCAAGGCAATGTTCAGGATGATAATAGAGAAAGGCATCAATTGTCTTGAACTGCATGGCACATCATAGAAATACACTGACAGGTGGTCCCTTGGTCTGGAATTTTCCAGAACTGCTAGCCAAACAAACTTCTATGGTTTATAATTTGCTCATTCCCTGGTACACTGTGTTCTAGCAGAAGAATTTGGCCAAAAGAATTCTGTAGCTGTGATTGCTTAAGGACTTGGAGAAAGGGAGGTTATCTTGGGCTATCCAAGTGGGCTGTAAATGTGTCCTCATAAGAAAGTCAGAAAGGTCAGACATGTAATGATGGAATAGGGGGAAGAAGAAGGAGAAGGAGAAGAAGGAAAAAGGAATAAAAGAAAAAAGGGGAGGACGAGAAGAGGAAGAAGAGGAGGAGATAATGAGGAGAAGAAGGAAAACGTGTAAGACTGACACAGAGTGTGCTTTTGGTGTTGAAGATGAAGTATAGCATAGTCAGCCTCTGGAAACTGGCATGTGGCAGAGGAATACATTCTCCCCCCATGCTCTCCAAAACTACACAATACTACTGAAACCTTGACCTCAGCCCAGTGAACTTATTCAGACACATATCCTCCAGAACTCAAAGTCAAGGTGTGTGCGTGACAGTAGGTCTTGGGATGTTTCGCTGTAATCACAAAACAGGAGCAGTGATGTAAGCTCCAGGTGACGTAGTAGAGAGAGATGTCACTAGAGTAGATATGTCGGAATAATCTGGTTAAATGTGTCATCCACACAGGGTTTCTGGTTTACTTGGATGGTGGTGGAGAAGGTTATCGTTGTGGCCATGGCCATACCACAGATCTTTTAACAACTGGAGGAAATTTTCATATAGGAAGGGAACAATCTGTGAAGTTTCGAAAGCAATTGAAAAGCAGTCAGTAAAAACTAAAGAAGGCTCTAGGGAAAAAAAAAATACTAATATTGTTCCATAATCAGATATCGACGTCTGTACTCGACTGTGCTGTGATTTGATAATTTCCTTGTAAGTTTATAAGAGGATACTGATGTCAAGTTATTGACTGTGTCATCTGAAAGATATCTCCACAGAGTGTGGTTCGATTAAATTACCTCTCAGGTCTCTGTCACAGTACAATTCCAGCTCTTTGTTTGGCCTCTGGGCTCAGGGAAAATCAGGCTACATGCGAAGCTTCCTGTCCAACTAGCACTCTGTGGCCTCACTTTGCCATTCAGACAGCTGTTCTCTCTATGTGATCTGCCCCTTCATGACGCTGTCCCTCCAAGATCCAGATCTGGCGGAGTCTTCAGCCTTTGTCTTTCTTTCACTACAACATCACATCCTTCAGCCTCTCTTTTCATAAAGTTGCATCTTCTGTGCTTAGTGCCTCTCCGGCTTATTACAAAACTTCTTGAGTACACTATATTCTTTGCTGTAGTGTATTTTCTTGTGTCTTTTGCTTCTTGATACCAAGTACAGTGTATTGAATAGAGCCACCAATAAATATTTGTGACCACAATAAATATTTGTTAAGTGAAAATGGAAGCTTGGCCAGATTCTACTATTTACCCAAATACTAAACAAGAAGAAGCTGACTTATGAAAGGTTCGCCCATGTAAACTTTCATCTGCTGCTAAGAAAAATGTTTTTAGCCAGTTTGATGGGAGCCCAAGATAAAGATTTTAAACCTAAGATTTGAAGTAGTGATGTATTCTGTTGGGGGGATATTCAATCGCACTATGAACCCTCAGTTTGCATTTACATGCATTAAATAAAATTAACCTTGGGTCGGGAGACTGCATGAGCAACTAGCTGACAGAAAGTAGTCATAGAAACGTTTAGTGGCAGCCACTAGGGTGGTGTGCGCGGGAGCAGAACTCTCACCAGGCTGAGAAGCAGGCTGGTTACTGTGGAGATGCAAATGCTGCCTGAGATCGCAGTAGATTAAGGTAAAGCCACCATGCCTAAGTTATAACAACAGTGTTCTCAACCCCAAGGAGGCACCCTCGTCATCCCCGAGTGGCTTCCCCATGAAAGAACCCTCCCTGTTTTCTCATACACATTTGTTTCTTCCAAGGGCCTTCTCTTACCTTTGATGACTGTTATATTGATGGTCTTGGTGATGTTGTACTGCTTCCCGTCATGGTGGAGAGAAAACACACAAGAGTAATAACCCTCATCTCCAAACTCGGCATCCTTCTCGATCGTTGGAGGTTTGACCGTTTCCTTACAATTCTGGTTTTGCAAAGGCAGATTAAAATACTTTAAGTCAGCAAAGGCAGTATTCTTGTCGCAACCATTCACATTTCTAAGTGAGCTTGGGATCTTTAGGGATAAAGGGAAACAGAATAGAAAACACGTCCCAGCAATCACCCTCCTATTGGAGAAGTGAAGTGCCCTCTTTACCCTCATGGCCGCTAATGAGGAGAGGGGTCCTACCATACCACCACTATTATCTTCTTTCTCTTAACCTGTTGTTCACTCACATACAAAGAGAGGGACAGACGAACAGAAACAGAGACAGAATACTTGAGTAATAATAACGATAAAAGACCTGCCCCTCACGCATGACACTTTGGGCCCAATTCTGTATTTAATGGGGATGGCCCATAAGAATGTGGACGGAATGGCTCTGAGAACTGAACAGAAGTTGCCCTCAGTGGGCTCTTGGTGTCCTGTACCAAAGGGCACAGATGCCAGATCCATAGGCATACTTCAATCTTTATGTTTCTCTCCACGTAAACCATAGTATTCAGTAACAACAGTAATAAAGCCACTGTCTGCACCCAGCCCTCAGTCACCCACTGGCAGATTCTGACAAGTGTAGGGAGAAACGGAGAGATGATAGACTAACTTGGACCATGGCACACAGTCCCTCCACACACTTAACAAAGGACAATCGCCTCTGAAGCTAGACCCAAGCAGTTACCCAAATGTCTTGCAAAGTGTCCACGTGTGCCTCATATCAGCAAGGTGAGTATAAGCAGAATTTTATAAACCTAAGCAGATTATTTCCAGTATAAACAAAATGCCAGAAGGTCTTCATTTTCAGTTTCAATCAGACCTTTCCTGATTCAGCTGTCTTGCCAACATTCCTCTCAGGAAGGACATCGACAGTCCACAAGCTGAGCATGCTTGGCCCAGTGCTCAGCTGTGCAGCCATAAACAGACCCAGATCATACATCTTCTCGATTTAGGTACCTGTATATCGGGGCTTCCTAAAAAACCCAGCAACCAAGCCTCCCCAATTGACATGTACTGTAAAGTGTGTGAATTTGACAAGAAAAGAAGGCAAGTCAACCCAAGACTGAGTTACGTGTTTAGATAACGTTTCAGATAAGAAGTCTCCTTGAAAGCTCACAGCTAAACACTATGACAGCAAGAGCTATGACTACACGTCAAGGGACTCATCAATGCCTCTGCTTCTTGGGGTTCCCCTGACAGGTTTGCTCTCCCACAGACACGATATAGGTCATGTTGCATGTGTGCATGAATGTGAATGCATACACTGCCTTACGCATGATAAACACGAGACACAAGTGTGAAGACTTCCTCCACGGCACCTTTTAAAGGAGCTCTTACAACCCAACCCACTAAGGAAAAGGCTTTACCAGTGAAGCAAACAGAAAACACACAGGCTAGCCACAAAAGAAGTCCTATGAGGTTACAGCTCACACATTTAACTTACAGCTTCTCAGAGTCTTTGAAATGTTTGTTGTCAGAGTTTTAACTTTCTGAAAGTATTGTTTCCCCGTGTTGGGAAAGTTGTGAGGGAGATGGGGTGCAGAGTTGGGTGATGTGTGTCAAAAGCCAATCAATTAACCCTCTCTGGTCCTACATCAAGTAATTATATGAAGGGTTTAATCATATAAGTACCCACACATTTATATAATTATCATTCATTATAGTCTGTAAATAACAGTAGGACACAGGAAACTCATGCACATCTAACAACAATGAGATCAGGGAGTTTAAACCAAATCCATATAAAATGCAATTCCCTGTTTGGAAGAAAGCTGCTCAGAGGTATGGGTGAATGAATAATCACACCGTTTTAATTAGGTGGAAAAAAAAAAAAAAACAGACCAGTGAACAAACCACTTTTGAGGACAGATGTTTATCTACGTAAAGAAATGAAGACAGCTGTGTGATTAGGAGTGATTTTCCAATTTCTCCAGCTTCATAAAACAAACTCATATATTCAGGATATGCAATTGTGTTTCAACATTTTGAAGGGATGTGGTAAAAGAAAATGAAAAACTCTAAACTAGTATTCCAAGAACTGTTTTCTTGTTTTGGTTTTTTTTTTTGTTTGTTTGTTTTTGTTTTTGTTTTGTTTTTGTTTTTGTTTTTAATGGAAGAAAATGAATGAAGAGCAGATGATAAAAAGCTGTCATCATGTACTGAATACCGGCTACAATACGGGGTGGTCACCATGCTACACAAATTGCATAAATTGGCCCTTTACAATAACCAGGTGGGACGGTTTCTCACACAGGCCAAGTAAGCCATGGGGAGTTAGACCACTGTTTCTAATGAGAGCAAAATGGTCCAGTGTCCTCCTATTCTCCATGTGGATTATTACCTTTCCTATGGAGAGTCTTACGTGGAAGTACTTTCAACTTGTTACCTTGTACAATGATGTGTGGTTGGTCAGCTCACTGTAGTTAGGGTTGTCACACGTTATGTGCAAAGATTTTTTGACTTCTACTTTTCTATTTTTCACAAGTTTTTCAGAAAAGCAGCTGTGTTCATCTCTTTTGATGACAGTCAGGGTCCAATTCTGATGATCATTTCTATGAAACAAAGGGATAGAGGGATTTTACAGCTACTAAAGAGATTTTGCAACTACTTCCAGTCTTCCAATTTTACCCTAATTTCTATACAAACAGATTTTTTCATCGAGGTGAAAACTTTTCTCTGCCACCCCTTAGCTCAGATTGGAAAGTTTACAACTGTCATGGGGTGAAAGATTACACTACAGAGAAGTCTTGGGACACACACAGAACATCACAACACATGTGCACACCACATACACACACCACACATACACACATATCAAATATAACACCTACAGGCAGCTATCTGGCATGTATAGTAGAGCAACTGATGATTTAAACTTTATCTTTGGTGCTGGACAAATTCAGAGATGCACAGAGCAGGATAGAAGGGGTGGCCTTAGTTCCAAGAAAGCTGCAGACCTTGTCTCCTCAAAGTGTGTGCATATGCACCTTGTGTTTGTTTCTCAAGGTGGCTTACTCTGTGGTCTTTCCCCTTACTGTCAAACGGAGTCTGCACAACTGAGGTGAACTTCAGGGTCTCCCTTGGCTGTGATTTCTCTTCTCAGAAATCAGCCATCTTGAAGACCTCGAAAAGTTGCATGTTTTTAAGCAACGGTGATTAAAAAAGTAAGATCATTTACAATTGTATGCTTTGTTTACCACGTGCATGGGATATATAGGTCCATACCCTAAAAATAGCAAACTTGTTGTTACATTGTCCTGTGGCCTGGGAAATGTGTGTGCACCTGGGTCCTCCCAGGCTCCCTTTACTTCTACGATGAGCTGGATAGAAGAGAAATAAGTGGCATGCTGCTCACCGACTTCCAGATGTCTTACAGTGTGTGTATGCAGGGGAGGCTGACCATTTCCCTCATGTTCAGATGAGAAAGCCAAGTAACCAAGTAACTTCCCAGTGTGGTCACACGTGTGTGTGTGTGTGTGTGTGTGTGTGTGTGTGTGTGTGTGTGTGCATAATACTACATTTCCACACTCCATGAAGCCTTGCTCTTTACTTGTGCTGAGAACACCAGCCAGGGCTGGATTGGGGAACTGGCTGTCACATGTTGAAAAGCAGTGAGTAGGCAGCCATGCAGCGTAACAGAGCTTGGCCTTGGAAAGGGCCCACATTCCCTTTGGCAGAACCTTCTTAAATTCGCAGGCAAATGGATGGAACTTGAAGAAACCATCCTGAGTGAGGTAACCCAGTCACAAAAAGAGGAACGTGGTATGTACTCACTTATATATGGATTTTAGACATAGAGCAAAGGATCACCAGCCTACAAATCACACCAATAGGGAAACTAGGATACAAGGAGGAATCTGAGAGATTCATACAAGGTCCCTCACAGAAAGGGAAAGGGACAAGATCTCCTGAGCATATTGGGAGTGGGGGAGGGGAGCAGTGAGTGGAGAGGGAACTAGGAGAGAGAGAAGGGGAGGAGAGGAAAACATGTGGGACTAGACAAATTGAGTCAGGGGAGGAATAGATGAGAGGAAAAATAATAATAATAATAAAAATAATTTAACAAAAAAAGAGGTACCATAATAGAGAGAGCCATTATATGTTTGAAGAGAAAACCGACTCTAGAGAAATGTTCAGGGACCTAAAAGAATGAACCCAACTAACAATCTGAGCAAAAGTGGAGAGGGTACCTTGAATGCCCTTCCCTGATAATGAGATTGATGACTAACTTATAAGCCATCCTACAGCCTTCATTCAGTAGCTGATGGAAGCAGAAGCAGACACCCACAGCTGAACACTGAACCTAACTCTTGGAATCCAGTTTCAGAGAGGGATGAGTGATGAGCCAAGGGGTCAAGACCAGGGTGGAGAAACCCACAGAGACAGCTGACCTGAACAAGGGGGAGCTCATGGACCCCCAGACTGATGGCTGGGAAACCAGCATTGGAGTGACTCAGACCCCCTGAACATGGGTCTCCGTTAGAAGGCCTGGGCAGTCTAAGGGACCTCTGACAGTGGAACCAGGATGTATCCCTGGTGCAGAAAAGGACTTTGGGAGCACATTCCCCATGGAGGGATTCTCACTTAGCCTAGAGGTGATGTGCTGGAAGACTTCACCCTCCCTGCGGAGTGGGGAGAGGGGGTAGGATGAGAGAGGGAACTGGAATCAATCAATATGTGAAACAAGAAGAAGAAGAAGAAGAAGGAGGAGGAGGAGGAGGAGGAGGAGGAGGAGGAGGAGGAAGAAGAAGAAGAAGAAGAAAAAATGATTCCTCTTAGCAGATCACATTGCTCTCTCCCTATCTTCAATTCTCAAATCCTGACACTCAGCAAATCTTGACAATGCCTGCCTGCCGTGTGCAGGAAGCCCGCCCCTCAGAAGTGCTGCACCAAGCAATGCTCTGCACCTGCTGGCAAAGAGTGAGCCCAAAAAGACTGGCGTGAAGTCCAGACCAAGGGAGCCCAGATCTAGGATCCCCAATTCCCTGTACCGTGACCCTGAACCAATGCCACTCTGATTATAGTGGCTACTCTGGCTGAGTGCTGTGTGGGTTAAACAGACAGCTTAAAGGCTGCTTGCTTATTGAGCACTTGCCAACACGCACATAATCTTGGGTGCCAGCGGCAGCAGCAAGCTAAAACAGGAGGAAAGAAGAAAGGGAAGGGAAAAGGAGGGAGGGAGAGAGGGGTGAAATTAAAAAGGGAAGGAGCTGTTTCTTGATTTTCCATCTCTCTGGCTTCACCACCGAAAATTCTCTCTTCTGGGTGACTTTCCTTCTTAACTTGCTTTCTTCCCTTTTAATTTTTAAAATTCTGTGTGTGCACACACGCAAGCCTAAGTGTCTGCACAGCCCAGAAGAGGGTGTCGGTGCCTAGAGCTGGAGTTAACAGGGGGTTATCAGTCACCCAGCGTGGGTGCTGGAAACTGAACTGGGGTCTTCCACCAGAGCAGTGCATTTCCCTAACCAGCTCTGTCTCTCTGGCCTCCGGTGTCCTCAAAAACACTGGGCCAGCTCCTCTGCACTGACCTCCTTCTTAAAGCATGACCCAGACATCAGACGTGGGCTTCTCCTTCTACTTGCAGTGCATCTGAAGATGTGGGAGCTCACTTACATCAAGTCATTGTCAAAGCCTTCTTCCCTGTCACGGGGTCATGCTCATCCAACTCACCGCCTTCCAACACACTTCAGCGGTTGTCTCTGAACTCTTGGGAGCCTCCTTGTAGCTCCACGCTGTTCTCTCCTTCTGATCACCCTTCCGTGGCTTCCTAACCCGGGCTGTGTTCTCTGACAGCCACATCAGAAAAGTCAAGAGCCTCTGTCCCTATCTACTCCCCAAGATGACCATAGCAGCCTGTGCCGCCTCTAATGGCTCTTTGCACCTCATCCAGAATACCCATGCCTTTAAGTCATGTCCATGCAACCCGGGCGCTGGGGACGCGAGATGTTCCTCTTCTCCATTCATCTTTAACTTGCGCTACAGAGACCCAGGTGCAACCAATTCGTCATAGTTATCTCTCTTAAATTGCCATAGGAACTGCACTGTTTAAACAACAACAGTTCTACAACTTAATTCTGAGACTCAGAAGTTTCCTTGTCGCATTTAGCACCTATGAGAAACCACAGGAGTGAAAAAGAGGCTTTGCCGTGAAATCTCACTTCTCTGTCTGAAGGCACACCAGTAACGATCTGGGTTCACCCTAGACTAGAGAGGGGTTTCTAAAAGAAATCTTCTGCCTCTCACAGCACAGTGGGCACCACCCAGCTAGCTGTAAGTGAGCTTCTACAGGTCATTGTCAAACCTTCATCAATAAAAGATGTTTACCTTCCTGTGTGTGCATGAACCTCTGTGTGCATAAATATGCACATTCGTGGTTTCTCTCTTGCTGACTTTAGCTACTAGGTAGTGGCTAGGAAACAGCTATACCTTTTCCCCTAATAACCCTGCATCTTCTTCCCAGTAAACTCGGAAAACTAGACTAGGATTGTTCCATAAATCCTATGCTTTCTCTGAAGCCTAATGAGGCCATGTGGGAAGCTGCCCCTGATACTCCTTCCTGAAGAGTCATATCATCTTTAAGTCCCTTGCTACAGAACTTTAAGACCCACCTGAACCCTAGCTCCACTTATCATTAATAAGGGTCCCCTAAAAGAAAATCTCATAAATGTAGGCATCCATTAAAGTCACTAAGAAGATAAATACAGAGCAACTGACTCAATTTTCCTACAATGAAATGTTTGCTTTCTGTTGTACTAAGAGCAGGGAAGGAAAAAATATCATGGCATATCTGCTTACAGATGTGTATTTAGGTTGCTGAGCCAAAGCCGAGAGTCCTAGGAAATACGTTGACACAAAATGGTTTACTCACCCCACTTGGGAAAAGTATGTTCCCTCGTCCTCCAGCTCAACTGGCCAGAATTCCAAATGGTGACTATGCAAAGTAATTCTGGGTGAACTCTTAGCGTTCAGCTCTCTGTATCCATGTGTGGCATTGCCTTTGAACCATCGTACAGTGGCTGTTTCATTCTTGTGCACGGATGACGATACGCCACAGGGCTTCAGATAAAAAGGCTCCCCCTCTATCGTGTGAATGTGAGGGCGGTGAATGCAATTCTCTACAGCAGATTAATCAAGGAAGGGGAGATAAATCAGGACAAACGTGATTTTTTTTTTAACCCCTCCGGTATAAAAAGTAAGATCAGTAAGAAAGCTACAAGAAATCTCAGCATCACATTCCTATGCTGGCTTTTGTCTGAAAGAAGACCTACCGGAGATAAGACACTTTCAGAACAAAGATGCTGATAAAACTGATGGTTTCCCTAGATGGAAAGCTAGCTGTCAGCACATAACCAGCCCTCACTCGAGACAAGGCACCACAACCACATCTTAAAAGGATGATGCTTTGCAAGTTACTGCTAAGGACAGACACAGAAGTCATAGCATCACCACATCGCCCCAAAATGTCACCTCTGTGGACTCGCCATGGAAAAGACAGGATATCTACGTGTGCATTCTTCATCTATACCACAGCGAGTCTGACGTCCCTTTGCTCAACCAGTCTGTCTACTCGATCCTAGGAAGGTTCAGGAGATATAGCAGAGTTCTTGGGCAGCTAAGCCCCTGCAGCACATTTGCATGTAACTAACAAGAGCTGGTGAATGGGGGACACTCCTGATATTGCGTCTCTTTCTCTTTCCATCTCCCTGTTTCTCAGCTCAGACCTGGTCTTTGAAAAGTTACCTATTGTTTGTTTCCCCCTCTACACAGAGAGGATCTCAATTCCAAATTGGAATTGTTGAACAATTCTCAACTCCCCCCCCCCCACCATTTTGGTCTTAAATGCCCTTAATCTTCATCTAGACAATTACCAGCTTTCAAGTAAGTAAATGGAAACCATAGACAAAATGCTGTCTCTGCAGTTAGGCCCTTATTGCTCAGAGCTACATCCTGGCTTTAACTTAACCCTAACCACAGCAGAAGGAGGAAGTAGCTCAAATGTCAGATCTACTTCAAAGTTCACGAACGACACTGAACATGAGCTTCTCGCTGGTGTTTGTAACAGAATCTCTCTCTCTCTCTCTCTCTCTCTCTTTCTCTCTCTGTCTTCACTTTGATTCCCCAACACAGCTTTTCCTTGGCAGTCAAAACAAGAGCAAGTCTTTAACATTTCTATGACTTTCCTGCCTTTCAGCGTCCTGTGTAACAAGGTGTGAAGCTGAGACACTACTTGATTTCCTGTGTCTCCATCCTTTTGGGCCTCATCAAGTCTAGGATGGCCGTTCAGTTTCCTACCTGCAGTACTATTTTCTTTCCTCACTGATATGTATTGCTCAGCCACGCTGAAGCCTAGGTATTCATTGAATACACACTGGGGACTTGGATTATTGTGAAAGACTCTATTGCATACTTGAAGCTATTTTGGGTCTCCAAGTGTTTCGATTCATTTTTTTTTTTTTAACCTTCTGTGAACATAGTTCTTGTACTTTGATTGATAAATGCATGAACTCTTCTTTGGGGATGGCCTCAATTTAAAAAACAAAATAATGGTGGTAGGGAGTTGGGAATCTATAATTATGAGGAAGCTTGTGTCTTGAGACACCTTTTCCTTTGTTTAGCATTACAGGCTTGCTTTTTTTGGTTAATATGATGCTGTTTAGGAACAGTCTTTGGTCATGTAAATGAACAGAGGTCAAGGTGTGTGCACTATGAACAGACAGTTCAGCTCTTCCATGGGCAAAGTCCTAAGTAGACAGCTGTGAGAGGCCAGCACCAACAAGTCAGATGGATCCCACTCATAGAGTATTGCTGCATATGGCTACAATTCCCAGTTCTGAAAGGCATTCTCTAAGCCCCCAAAGGAATGGGGAGCTGGAACCTGAACCCCAGACCTGACAGGCTGTAGAGTTGGTTTTGTGCCAAGATTGTGTTTCAGGGCAATCAGGATCAGGTGGTTTGTCTATGGAGCATGGGGCACATGGCACACATTTTTCTGTACGACCCTGACAAATCACTTCATGCAGAGAAGAGAAGAAGGAGCCGTCTTTAACATTTAGGTAGCATTCTAACGGTGTGTGGGTCCATCCACAAGCATGCTTTCCAGAATGGACGTGTGTTAAGAAAGCATTAAGAGCTGATCGCTGTTTTTCCTTTCACAGCAATTCCCAAAGTAAGGGGCATGGGCCCCAGTGTCCCCTTTGGTGGGTAACATTCTGGGGGGAAAAAAATATTAGCTGGCTTGCTCCCTTTCTCCTCCAAGTCCTGTGAAAATGGCCCTTAGTCGTGGAACTTCTCTCCAAAGAACAGGATCTTCAAAGCCTTCCCCATGAAGCAGAGTCCCAAACATCCACAGCTAATAAACTAAGAGTTGATATTTGGCCTGCTCTGATGCTTTAGCTTCCAGTTCAGCCAGTCTCTTTCTTATATGTTCTGGCACTTGGGCGATTTCTACGTTTAGGAAGGATTCCTATTTATTTCCTTTTAGAATTTCCTGTTTAAAAATGAATGAATTCTTTCTATCCCCTCGGGAAAAGGAAAATGTATGATATTGCCTAAAACACATTTTAAAAAGACAATTGTTTTCTCCTTCTATTTGAAATTAAATGAAGCAATCTTCTCCTGAAGTGTGGTGTATGTACCCTGCCTCTCTGTGTAGCAAGTGCTCCTTACACCTTTATTTAGCCCATTCTTGCCATTGCTCCATTGTCTATCCTAGGAACGCCAAGTACTTCTCAGCCTCCTAAAGTACAACTTGAACTCACCAAGTGTTAAACAAAATCAGCATCTTCAGTAACCATATCAGCTATAAAGAAAGCCCCCATAACTTCCCTCTAGCTTCCTAGTGGTGTCTATTTGTGAATGTTTATGCATCACTTACTTGAGGCACTTTTAACAATGAGAGCACAGAATATTGAGAGTAATTCTCCCCAATGCATGACTAGGTCTCGGCTTCAACTGGTGTCCCTAGACAAAGAAAAACATAAATTTAAACTCAAGCCCTCAAACAAACCAAAGTTTAAACTCTCCTACACATAAACCAAAAGCAGCCCGGTTGTGTTTCATAGATCTTACATAGTCACCAAATTGCCAAACGTTTGGTGACACAGAATGAATAAATTTAAGGCAATCCATTTTGGCTCCACGAGGCATAATTATTTAACAGTTTTAATAGAACAGAGCCGTTGACGTTTAGCTTGATACACCACATCTTGTCCCCGTTGTCAACGCAAAAGTCAAGAAAAATCTATGATTCTGCAGATTAAACAACCCATGGCGTATTGTGTGTGCAGGCATGTGTGTGTGCACGCATGAGCATTCCTGTGTGTGTGTGTGTGTGTGTGTGTGTGTGCAACAGAGACAGAGGTTTGCATCACTGCCCTAAGTATGTGAACTAATCACCTAATCACCTCATGGGGAGGAAATCCTCACTGTGACCCAGAATTGCAGGAATTTCTGGCAAGTTTCAAAGTCTAAGGATTCTGTTGTCCTGCCTGTCAGTAAAGCTTGCACAATGCCTGGCACACAGGACCAGGACCACTGTCACTAAAGGAGGGGTGTGTGTGTCTGGGCTGCGAGGCAGGACCGGCTACCCCAGGGAAGGGTCAGCAACAGATCCCAGGAGTCACACTGACCCTCCTGACACTGAGGACTGTGACCTCAGGTCCTGACCCTCCTTACACCACGTGACCTCAGGTCCCTGATGTTGCTGCTTTGAGCTTTGATCTAGAAGAGCCCACCCTTTACCTTTCTAACTATGAACAACGTCGAGAGTAGAGTAGAAGGCCTTTCCTCGGTGGAGCCATGCATTATTAAGTCTAAACACTCCCCCCAATAACCTCACTGGAAAGCCCACTGACTCCACCCGGGGCATCAAAAGAACACTCGTCACACAGAACACAGCAGGACATGAAGAGCTTGGTTTCTTTCAGAGGCAACAAAACTGACTAGAATCCCAGTCTGATAAAGCTCAGGGGGCTACGGGCCTTGGGCAAAGAACATACGTAGCTCAAGAACTATTGACTCATTGCCGAAACACAGAGGGGAAAGAGCTTCCTCCAGGATCACGGAGGGATCACAGTACCTAAGGCTAATGAAGACCTCTGCATACATGACAACCTCATAACCTAGAGCAAAAACCCAGCTGCCCCTCACTTCCCATCCTAACAGGAGAGAAGACTTTCGTGATAAAACTACCAAAAACATCTACCAATTTGCAAGGGATGATATAGTATAATATATATATATATATATATATATATAGATAGATAGATAGATATAGATAGAATATATATAGAATATATATGTATATATATGATATATACACTGAATACGAATACTGAATATAAAATATATACTGATACATACTGAACACATTTGTTCATGGAAAGCACCAACCATTCAGAGTCAAACTAGAACAACGTATAACTAGAAACCTCCAGTCACCCACCCTCATACCTTCTATTACTGTTTAACAGCTCTGTCTTGGATGAAATGCTGAAGTTTGACTTCCTCTATGGCATTTCTTCAATTAAGGCTGTCACAGCTTGGCAAGAGGGACCAGTTTTCTTTTTCCTTTTCAATTTTAAGTCCCAACAAGAAATAAGATTACGTAATTACTCAGCATCCTGAAAAGCTACAAGTTTTCCATGTTAAGACCTCAGCGTATAAAAAAAAGATGCTATCCACACGGGGGAGTGTGTAGTACTTTAATGTTCTGCTGTACTTCCTAAGTTGCACGTGTGAATTTGAGAAACTGGTGTTTTACTCACTGCCAAATTCACCTGCAGATGAAGCGCTAGTCTGAGAAGTGGTATCGTGACCTGTTGTAGAGCAGCTAGCCAAACACTGACAAGGTAGATGTAGTGACATCACATTTTTTTGCGTGTAGTAATTCTAGAGTTTTGTGTTTGTTGCTTTTGAGGTTTTTGTTTTGTTTTTGCTTTTCAGTAACCTTGACTGATCTTTCTTTTCTTCATTAAGTTCTTTTGTTTCCAATTTGTAAAGCAGTGTCTGTTCAACGTAGAATATCTCCAAAACAAAGACTGAAAGAAGAAGATATTCTCAACATGCATAGTATGTTTGTACATTTCTGGCACGTTTACAAATAACGAAATTATGTCTAATTGGTTTTGTGTCTTGTGTTTCCTCTTGATAATTAAGCACTAAAGGCTTCTCTACCTTATACTTTCCTTTGTTCTTGCTATTCCAACTACCCCCTCAGATCCCCTCGTGTGCACATCCTACAGCTCACAAAATCAACTATTTTACACAATACCCCATGGCCATCTTCGACCTTAAGGCAGGACCGCTCAGTTTTATAGTGTTGGCACCAGCCTAGCTGGGTCTGAATCTTGACTCTTACATCACCAGCATAACAATCACGGGCAGGGCACACAGCTGTGCTCTGAGTACTTCATCCATAGCAGGGGATGGCGATTCTACCTCCCAGAGCTGATATCGTGGCTACAAGTGTTCCTATTCAAAGGCCTAGAGTATATACAAGTGTCACCTGAACGTTGGCTGTCGCCCTCTGCTTTGTTTATTGTTTTATTGATGTCATGATATGGTGAGACTGTGACGGAGGCCATGGCAAGAAGAAGAAGAAGGCATGTTGCCCAACCACATTCCAGAAACCTCTCACAGCTTCTGCTTCCTCCCTCAAGGGCACACAACACTGTCTGCCACGCCCAGGACAGCACAACTGGCCTTGATTTCTCAGCCTCACGAGGCTGTTTAAGTAGGACAGGCCTTCTTGCTTATTTGAATCTGTGTTTTCTTATTATTATAAACAAAGCAAATCATAATCACATAACACTAGCTGCTTTATATTTCATGCTCATGAACCTTTTCACAGAAAGTGATTCTTTCCCCATTCTCCAAAGCAATGATTTCTCTTTCGGTACATTAGCATATGGAAATTTTTATGTCCGTGCACTCAAGCCAATACTCCTGTGTGTGTGTGTTTCCCACTAATTTTACGTGTAAATCATTCTTTTTTTTCTCCCTCAACGGAAAAACAGATGATTACCAATATCTTCTCCATCTTCATTATTTTTTTTTCCTTTGACTTATTTTTAAATTTACAAATACTAATTTTGCTTGCCTTGGAAATAGAACCAAACCGAAATAAATTTCCACTTCCAAGACAACTGTGACAGTTATTTCTCTGTCTAATCAAGTAGTCCCACCTTCCCTTTGAAGTCTGTTGATATCCACTGACAATGTACAGGGTCTCCCAGAGTGTCCACGAAAAATCAAGCACAGGATGCTAGCTAGCCTGGGGCAAATGTGTACAAGCATGCACACACCTACTTTCTCTCTGTCCTCACTTTGCTTATTATTGCTACTGACTACCATGTGCCACTTTACGTCTGCTTGATAGTTTATTTGCTGAATTGATGAACAAACTAAATCCATAAAATATTGACAGATGGGAGTCCTAAGTGTTCATTCAATTCATTGCACACCTGAACCATCTTCTACTTTTTAAAACATGGCATCTTCAAACATTTGTTTTGACAAACATGATGCCCAATAAACATAACATGGAGTTTTGAGAAAGATACAGTAGCCTGGGCTCCACACAAATGACAGGGACATCCTGGGCTCACACAGATGACAGGGACATCCTGGGCTCACACAGATGGCAGGGACAGCCTGGGCTCACACAGATAGCAGGGGGCAGCCTGGGCTCACACAGATGGCAGGGGGCAGCCTGGGCTCACACAGATGGCAGGGGACAGCCTGGGCTCCACACAGATGGCAGGAGACAGCTGGACCCCTGAATCTTCCAGTTTCCCAGATAAAAAGCCACCAATCTATAGGACTTAGCTGTTTACTCAGAATATATTAGATATATTCACTTTAAAGTTAATGTAATATGAAAATATGAAATCAATATCTGTGCAAGTATGTATGTGTGTATCTATGAATACAAAGATTAGTTACAAACTCAATTACCCAACGCTATAAAAATCTCTCTAGATTAAAGATGTTCTCTTCCGAATTTATATGACCTGGTGGCATAGAATGAAGGCAAGGGTGGACTTTCAGAATATCCTCTCGGGGTGTCAAAGTGGTCATGCCCTGGGTTCAAGTCTGTCCCATACCCTTTGGGGGCCTCACCACAGGGAAATGAAGCATATTCTAGAGAAAAAGCAGTTCATCTGAACCCATGGATGTTAAGTTCCTTCAAAGCTTCCCAGTGAGGGACCTGAGGCTGGTGGAGTGGAAAACAGCCAAGTCCATGACTCACAGGCAAACACATGCTACCCATTCGTTAGCGCTGAGAGATCCCTAACACGAAGTGCCTTGATGGAAGTTACATGGAAGTTACAATGCCCCATGAGGTTCTTTGTCCATGCTGAGAACTGAAGATGGGTGTGCCAGCACTGAGCTGGCTATCCTGATTTTGTTTTTGTTTAAACACAATCCTTCTTTTATAGTCCTCTATGCCATCATCAGCTGAGAGGTAAAACGGCCAGGTGCAATTGGTCTTGGACACACCCATGCACTTCTGCCCTAAAACAAAGGATGTGTGAAATTTGATTTTCCATCTGTAAGACTGAGAAAATCACCACCAGCCATCTCACAGTGCCCGGATAAAAATATCTGCTGCTATTATTATATATCCCCACTGGCCAAGTGGATCCAGACACACAGACCACGATCCCGCCCTCCTCCCCTCCAGGACCCTATAGTCCTTGCAATGTGACTCAATGTTTGGGTTCCCCAGGAAGCTTGACAGTCCAAACCACCCCTAGCTTGTGGCATCTCCATCCCTCCTGGACCAGAAGGCTCCCTGCCTTTCCATCTCATGTGCCTAAAGCAGATGTTCCTAGTCGTGTGTGTGTGTGTGTGTGTGTGTGTGTGTGTGTGTGTGTGTGATCACACTATCCCCAAAGCCTACCTAAATGAGCTCCCCCAATCATTAATTGATAATTACAGTGAGACCTGCCCGGGCTTCTCACCTCTTGATACCTCTAAATTAAACACAAAGATTTTGGAATCAGGAGAAATATAATGTGACTCTCCGATCGATCTATGATCTGTTACTAGATGGACGCCCTTAGATGAATTCCCGAACTCTCCACCCCACCCCCACATTTATGAACCCAGATGACACTGCCTTTTCCATTTGTTACCTATGAGGGTTGCACAGCCGGAACAGGGCTGAAGAAATGCTTTGAACACTGTCAGCAGGGGTGAGCGCCGAATAAAAATCAGCAGTTGGCTGTATCCCAGCTCTACACATCTCTCTGCAAAGGAACTGTAAGCCTGTAGTCACACACAGTCACACAGTCACACACTCACACACCACACACAGTCACACACACTCACACACACACTCACATGCACTCACACACACACACCACACACACACACTCACACACTCACACACTCGCACACACTCACACTTGCACACAGTCACACACTCACACACACACTCGCACACACTCACACTTGCACACATACACACACTCACACACAGACACACACACTCACACACCACACACACCACACACACACACTCACACACCACACACAGTCACACACTCACACACACTCACACACTCACACTTGCACACATACACACACTCACACACAGACACACACACTCACACACCACACACACCACACACACATTCACACACCACACACACACTCACACACTCACACACACACACACACTCACACACACACACACACACACTCACACACTCGCACACACTCACACACCACACACACACTCATACACTCACACACTTGCACACACTCACACTTGCACACATACACACACTCACACACAGACACACACACTCACACACCACACACACCACACACACCACACACACTCACACACCACACACACACTCACACACACACTCACACACACACACACACTCACACAACACACACACACACACACACACACACACTCATACACACCACACACACACCACACACACACTCACACACCACACACACCACACACACACTCACACACACCACACACACTCACACAACACACACACAACACACACACACTCACACACACACACACACACCACACACACACTCACACACCACACACACTCACACACACTCACACACACACACACTCGCACACACTCACACTTGCACACATACACACACTCACACACAGACACACACTCACACACACACACACACACACACAGCACACACACTCACACACACCACACACACACTCACACACCACACACACTCACACTCACACACCACACACACTCACACACACACACACACACACTCACACAACACACACACTCACACTCACACACCACACACACTCATACACTCACACACACACACTCGCACACATAGACACACACACACACCCGCTCACATTGATTTTGTTTTCAGGATCCTTGCACCCTGGGAGTGGGTGGCCCCTTCCCCTGGCCCCAAGCACATAGCAGGGGCATCAGGGCCTGTCCTTACCTCCGGAGGGAGAAGTGTCTCACAGGCAGGGCGGGTCGGCAGTCTGGGTGTCACTTACATTTGAGAAGCAGAATTCACACCACAGGTGAGAAAGAGTGGTTGATCCCTGCGGGTCCACAACTGTGGACCAGAAAGAGATGGGGGTTTGGGGGAGGTGCAGTGAGGCCGGGCCAGGGGAGTGTGATTAAAGAGATCAGACGAGCCTGAAAGCTATGGGGGTGGGGGAGGAAATGCCCGGCTGGGGAAGGACAGAATAGTAAGAATAGAAAAGTTAAGGCAGCAGGTGGGCACGCCCGGAGTGGAAGTCGCTCGGGGTCCGGAATTGTGAGCTGGGGGACTGGAGTCTAGGGTCTGGGATGCCCTGAGCTCCCCGCTCCCCGCCCAAGCCTGTGCTGATTTCTCCACTCGCCCTCCGCTCATCTATGAGCTCCCAAGTTCCCAGAGCTAAGGCCCTGGACCGTGCGGTGGGAAAGCCCGGGGAGCGTCCCTGTCTCCGCGGGCACCAGAAGAGGCACCGCCTCCAGCGTCCCCGGACCCGAGCAGCTCCTTGTACTCCACTGGAGGTAGAGTCTGTAGCTGGGCTGTGGTGGCCTGCGCTTTAATCCCAGCACTCACTCCGGAGGGAGAGGCAGATGGAGCTCTGTGAGTTCGGAGCCAGCCTGGCCTGCAGGGTGAGATCCAGGAGAGCCTGAGCTATTACACAGAGAAATCCAGTCTCCTAAAACCAAAACCAAAAAGAAAGAGAAAGAAAGAGAGAGAAAAAAAAAAAAAAAAAAATCACCACCTGTGCACACCACACCCTTCTGGCAGAGGGCGCTAAGAACCCAGGATTCCTGCACCATGGGAACTGGGAACATGAGGGATGGAGAGACAGGTCCTTGGAGGAGAATCATTAAGACTGCCAGGCTCCCCGAGCTAACAGAAAACTAGCAGCAGCCCAGGATGTCCAGCCTCCTCAATGGGTCAGAATTCACACCTGGGAAGTAGTGGTGAAATTTTAAGTTGGTCAAAAGAAAAAAAAGACAAAGAGTATTTCTAGATTTTATAATAAGCTAGAACTCTTCAAACATGCACGGAGGGAATGCTCAATGAGTCAATGACACAATTCTTTTTGCCCAATCAAAAATAATTCACCATGTAATAAAACGAAAAGCATAACTTTGCTGGGATCAATAGAAAACAGGCGTTTAACAAACTTCAACTCTCCTATGACACACAAATTGGATATAGAGAGGATAATTACCCCTTCCTAATGCTGCACACTTTGAAGAAAAAAAATGTTTTTTTAAAGTATAAGGGTAGGAAAGGATAAAATGTAAGTATTGGCCTCCACAGAACATATTTTGTATGTGGGTGGCCCTTTGAAGCTATCAAAACAATAAAACAAAACTACTATCTTGAGTTTAGCAAAATCGTCAGTTACAGGTTCACTACAGAAAAACCAATTATAGGTTTCTTTGTTAGCGATAGAACCGAGGCAGGAAATCTGGAAAGGCAGCTAATTACAGTGGCATGAGACAATAGCATTAGTCCTTCCAAAGATTCACGGTGTGTACTTGGGCAACTGGAGAGCCCCCAAATGGAGATGTATGCCAAGTGCGTGGACTGAAAGGTATTTCTGACCAGTTACTTGCCATTCTGAGACAAGGTTCTGAGCCACACGGTAGAACATAGGTAGAAACATGGGTTAATTAAAGTTGTAAGAGCTAGTTAGTAACAAGCCTACGCTATTGGCTGAGCGTTTATAGTTAATGATAAGTCTCAGTGTGGTTGTTTGGGAGTCAGCTATAGGGGCAGAGCTGACTGCCTGGACACACAGACACTCCATCTACTGTTCAATTGGTAGAGAACATACTTTAGATTCTAGGTTACAGGTTCTCTATACGTTAATATCCATATCCTAGGTGGAATTTTCTAGTAAACTAAGAATATGTCTCTAAAATGTATATATGAAAATTCGAACAATTTAAAATTGTCATAATATTCTTGGAAAGGAACCAACAATAGTTTTCTTGGGTCATTTTAGGTGGGTAAGGCAGCAAGGATAATAGTAATAATAATAATGGCTGCACAATAAGGTTTCATAATTCCAAACATTAGTATTTACTGAACTTTCTCTGAAGTCCGAATTCTTCTATTTCCTATTTGCAAAAGAGTTTGCTGTGGTATTACATTTCATCTGACCAAGAAAACTTTTACTTGAGATTGTTAAGGAACTTATAGCCCAAGAACTAGTTACCCAAAGCAAGGATTTCTTCCTAGTCCCACATTCTGCTGTGAGAACTAGTTATATACACAGCATGCTTTTCACGGGTCAGCCTTTGGCAATTCCGTGCCACATAAGGACACAAAACCCACCACAGGGTTTAGCAAAGGCAGCCACAGCCACAGGATGGATGCACCAGTCAATCCGAGCTCCAGGTCATCTTCATCTAAGCCCTCGGCCTTTAAACTGAACTTCAGGTAATGTTTACTTGGCAGGCCATCTTAAGGGTACAGATTGAGAGCGCAGAGTCCCTAGAAAGATGAGCTACTCTACATCCTTTACACAGACTTCCAGGTATGTGACTTCTCTGCAGCGTGGACTCCGAAATATATGTTGACTGTGAGGTCAGGATTGCTCTCCATTTCGAGAGTTCTGTCCTTGTTCTCTCTTCAGTGTGACATGCCATCACTTAGCGAGTAGCCCAAGCAGGGCTCGTATTCACCAGCAAAACCCCAGGTGCCAGCCAGTACGACACAACTCTTGGCTCTGTACCCACTCCTGGGTATCCATGGCCCCAAAGTGTATGTGTGCTCTCCTGAAGAAGGCGGTCCACAGGTCCTTTGACTACAGGAGATTGTCTGTTCTGTCCAAGTTCCCTACGCACTTCACAGACAGTAAGTTGTCTCGCGGTGACAAGCATGTTTGAGTCAGTGTGTCAAAGATGGGTTTGTGTGGCACGGCAGACTTGTCTCTCACGGTGGCCACAGCAGCTGGAGTCTGCAGCACAAGCTGGGATGGGGCACCCTGAACATCTGTACATGTTAGAGAAGCTCGGCGACGTGTCGCAGATTTTGATTACAGTGATAAACAGGAAAAATGTAAAGTCAGTATTGTACAATCCTGGCATTGCAAATTATATGTATACATCTTCATTGTATTTAAAACACAGAATTACTTGCCAGTATATAAAATACAGATTTACTTGCCAGAATTAATCTTAAGACAACAGGGTTATGGTTGCTTTTTATTATATTTTCTTTCATACTTCCTGTTTTCAAATACACCTTTATTGCTTTTGTAGTGAGAAAACATTTCTAAAGAGAATAAAAATATACAAAAGACATTTAGAACTGAGGGGAAAGAAGCTTTATCGTAATGGCAATTTGGATAAGGTACTTGAAAAATTTGACAGTATCGACAAGACAAAACCAAGTTAAAAAAAAAAAATAAGGAAGAAATTCTGGTGTGTTGGGAATGTGATTGACTACTGGTGTGCTGCCTCTGGGCATGAGGATGCTCTCAGACACGAGTCAGATTATATCCTAGAAGTGTCAGCTTGATAGTCAGAAAGTAGATTATTGATGAGGAGTAAAAAGAAAGAATAAAGAGAGAAATGAAAGGGAAGGAAAGGCACAGGGAGGCTCCTGTGCTGCAAGGGAATGGAATGGCCTCACCCACGAATAGGAAAAGAAACTAGCCGGGCGGGGCCTGGGGCTGCTACCCTTGACATCCCAAGTCTGCACAGGTCCACCCCACTGCCTGGTGCTGGGACACACCCAGCTCTGGGTGGTCAGGTCCACAACTCAGAAGTGTTTCAGGTCCCAGCATGCCTTGTCACTCAGAGGGACCTCACCAGATGCCACCTTGGAGAGTCTGTTCGGCACTGGCATCTGGTACCTCACGTGCTTCCAGAACTTGGAGCTTAGAGACTGCTTGTTGGCCACGTGGCCTTCCCTCCACTTGATGGTCCCCTGTGTTTTCACAAGATGCTGAAGAGACTCCTGAAGGTCCCCAAGCTGCAGTTGGCTGGCCTCACCCAGGGGCTCCATTTCAATAAGAATCACCTTGGAGCTGTTTTGGATGAGGGCTTCATGCAGGGCAACCTCCTGTTCGTAAGCAAACTCTTTGCTGTGTGTCATGTGAGGGGCCAGGACAAACATGTGTCTTCTGCTGTTCTGGATGCTGCTTTCCACCGAGGTGGCCGCATCTAGAGGTGGGAGATGGATAGAGACCTCCCGTCATTCCTTTTGTACATTTAATGTCTAAATCAAGAAGGTTCTGGGCATGTAAAGGTCCTTATTGTTATAATCTGTTGGGAGGTTCCAAGCTGATAGAGTCATATTCAGAAATTAGAAATGGTGTTACTGATTTTTGCTATAAAACTATCTACCCAAGGGGCCTTCTGTTTAGCCAGATAAATCAATGCTAATGGAGAGTCCTCCCTTCTACCTGGATAAGTAAAAGTCTCTTTGTCTACCATTGCATGGGGGACTTAGAATTTAACTCTTAGTCTAGTATCTTCTTAGATTGGCTATTGATATGTTTATCAGATGGTCAACATTTTCATTCATACACCAAAGGGTGCAAAGTCAGCAAGCATTGATCCTCCCAACTGACCAATGTTACCAGAGAAGTCCTTGGTCGCTTTGCTCCACAAAGATTTCTGTTTGGAGAGCTGATTCAACCCATGCTTAAAAAAAAAAAAAAAAAATCCTAGGGAAAGTCTTATCTCTTTTCAAAGTCAACCTTTGCACCTGGGCGGAGGCCAAGGTGATGCAGTTAGCTCTGAATGGACTTAGGAAAACAAAAGACAGAAACCAACCCCCAACAAAACCCCACCTAGCAGGCACTCACTGCAGAGGGGAAAGGGAGAAGTAAGAAAGAAGAGAAGCCACGAGCAGCACAAGATCTTCATAGAGAGCTCTCGTTACTTCTGATCAGCTGGGATGGGGAAAACTGTGCGAAATGGTGTGCTGGTTGGGGTCTTCCGCCCTGAATGGAAGCAGATGTGGAGTGGACAGCAAGACAGCCAGCAAGAACCTAAGCTCAGTACACTGGCCAGCGCGCAGCTTTCTCTAAGTGAAGAGCAGTGCTCTGGTTGTTGGCTTCGCTGTACCTGGGTGGAGGAAAGGTCAGGGTCCGTGCATTGATTGAGGAGAAGTGAAAACCACCCACAAGACAGTGCTGCTACCCAACAAACACAATACAAGCACCCAAGCATCTGAGCTTGTCCGATACGGAGGAGGTATTAATAGAAATTAACTGGATCGCCTGGTGGCGGTGGCCCGTGCTTTTAATCCCAGCACTCGGGAGGCAAAGGCAGGTGGATCTCTGTGAGTTTGAGGCCAGCCTCTGATCTACAATGCTACACAAAGAAAACAGAAAAACCCTGTCTTGAAAGACCCCCCAAAAAGTAGCTGGATGAAGTGGGGGGGGTGATGAAGGCAGCTCCTATACTTTCAGAGACAAGTGGAGTTCCCACAGATCCTGGGACGGATCTGAGACAGAGAAAGAACACTAGTGACCATTGCCCACTAATTTTCTACCCATGTGGCCATTTACAGGAGAGCTGGCAAAGCAGGGGGGAGGGGCCCTAAGAAAACTAAGATTGAGTCCTAGTTTGTACATCTTGAGATATTCCATAACAGTGTCAGCATTGATCAGATTTGAGAAGAAATCAGATTGCCCTGTGTGCATGCCTGTTAACCTATTGGTACTTAAATCCCTCCCCTTTAGTAGACACATTAATTTAAAAAGTTGAAGTAAATATGAACTTTACTGGGTGTATGCGTTATGATATTCCGCCCCCCATTCTCGTTCTAACCCATCCTTGACCTCTGAGGAATGGAAGAAAAGTTGATAGGGAAAGTTAGAAAACTCCTGCCCTAAACATTTAGAGGGCGGGGTGGGGGGTAAGGGGTGGGGCCTGTTGAAATGGCCTGAGTTTTGGATGAAACAGTCAAAAGTGCACAAGATAGCTAAGCATGAATGCTATGAAACAGAAGCCACTGTTCTGCTGCCCCGAGAATACAGATTTGCAGACCGTTTCAACAGTTTGAGACACATCAGCAGGACTTTGTCAGCTCTTCCAAATATCTTCCCCATAGGCTCCGAATCCCAGACTCAAAAATCCTTCTTTGCGATTTTCTGTTAGGTCTCCCAGAGAGAGTTAGACGTTTCAGAGGTAGTTTTCCCTAACTGTGAAGATTGTGACCTTTTCCCCACTTTATAACTCTCAACACATGAGACTGCTCCTGTCAGAGATCCTCCTGATAGCCCCTGGGGCACAGAATCACAGATGGAGACAATTACTGCTAATCACAACGGGTTGAAAAGCAGAGAGCAAGCATTTGTGGGTTGCCAAGCCACAGCTGGGAATCTACAAGACTCCTCCACTTAAGGATCAGGGGTATCTGGGAAGAGTGGATGAAAAGATTGTTAAGCTGCTGTGAGGTTGTGTCTTCTAGAAATGGACAAGGCGGTTTCACTCACGATACGGTAACGACATGGCTGTCTAAGCAAGACCTGAAAAAGTACACCACCAATAGATATGCTAGCACAGAAAGGGAAATCTCATGAGGCTGCAGCTGTGGGCAAAAACAAACAAACAAAAAACCTACAGACAACTAAGGAATAGTGAAGGTAGAAAAATTCCTTGGGGTGAGTCCTCTAGTTGATTATATTAATACCAAGTCAAGTGGTCAACCCTGAAATGCCATACGTACATGTAACACAAAATGGGATGAGTTACTGTATGTGTGCACGCGTGTGCACGCGTGCATGTGTGCACATGCGCTCAGCAATAACAAAGCAGGGGAAAGGTCATGATTTCAAGGGGAAAGGGGGGAGGATTGACAGGAGGGAGGAAAGGGGGTAAATGCTGTAATATTTAATTTTAAAAAGTTTCAGAGTTATTCTACGGAAATAAGAAGGAAAAAGAGCTGGAGCAATAGCAGCTCGTGCACAGGTGAAGCCCTTGACTGATACCAGCATGTTCCATCCACACTACTGGGAACACATGTGGAATGAGAAGACTCAATAAAATGAGCATCTCCCAAGAAGCAGTCTAAAAGCTCTGGCCTTGGGCCAGCAAGATAGTTCAGTGGGTAAAGGTGCTTGACACCAAGTCTCCAGACTTGAGTCTGACCTCCAAGCCCCACATGGCAGAAAGGGAGGCTTCAGGCACACACACAAAATAAACGTAGTTTAAAAATATCTCTTGCCTTAGCCAAGCATGGCGGGTCATGCTAAGTCATAACTGCCCTGTGTTTGAAGTCAGCCTGTGCTACATGGTGAGTTGTAGGCCAGCTAAGGGAACCAGGAAAGACCCCCATCTCAAAATAATCAATCAGTAGTAAACCTCTGCTCTTGAGCCTGAGATAACAATCAATAAAGGTCCTTCACCAATCAGCAAGGAGGCAAGGTCTCTTTTCACGAATTCCTTTTTTTTGTTCATGTGTATGCGCCTAGTACAAAGTAAATATTCTAAGCTAAATTCCCTATTACAGCTCGCATGTTAATGAAAATGGGCTTGCCTCTCCTATTACCATGAAGTGATCTTCGAAACAGAACATCAAGTTTCACGTGCAGCATAGGGAATGGTGCATATAGCTCACCGGATACATTAAAGTGCCAGCGCAAACATGTAACTCTCACTAATACTCCATGCAACTCTTTTGTATCTAATGTTTTAAAATCTGTGCATAATGTGTTAGATGCCGTAATGCATTTGTTTGCAAAGTGTGTTTCTGTGGCTCCCCTTTACCCCACCCCAGGTTCTTTATCAGTTTCCATTCCATGTGTCCTTTCCCTCACACCCACCCTCGCATTACCTTCTCTTGGTCTCCTTTCCAGATTTTTCTTTTTCAATCCCTGACCTGTGGCGGGAGCTTTTACCTTGTCCAGGCATCAGGTCTCTCCCATAAATGCACAACTTGTAGCCACATTTGTTTTCAAGAACGTCGGGCAGGGTGTGATGAACGAAGTATTCCACAGAGCTGGTTCCTGCTGAGCTGCCTCTGAAGACCCGTGGGTAAATGACGTAAGCATCATAGAGCTTGCCATCTGAGAATGAAGCCAAGAAGTACCGCTTCATGACCGGTTCTAAAAACTCTCATCTGTCTGCTGACAGACAGCTCCTACCAAGGTTAGTGAATATACTTCATCATCCCATATACTCATAAAATCAAGAGACATCAACAAACCACCGTTATATAATGTGACAAGAAAATGACAAATCATGACCAAAGGTTGGTTTGTTGGTTGGTTTGTTGTTGTTTATCTGTTTGTTTGTTTGTTTGGTTGGTTGTTGTTTGTTTGATTGATTGATTGGCTGGTTGATTTCTAACATCTTAGTTTGAATAGTAGACAACAGAATCGGTTCAGTATTCTTCAAGTTTGTAAATAAGCTGTTAGTATTTATCATTATCAACAGGGCCTCCTATGCCTGTTGCCTGTTACGTTTTCCCACTTAGGCAAATAGCACAGATTCAAAGACCTCCAGTGTATACCCAAAGACACAGAGAGTACTGAGTCCACTGTTCTCCATTTTCTCCTAGACATACATACCTAAGACTAATTTATAAACTCGTCACAGTAAAACTTTAATAAGTGTAGCTAGTGATCAAGACTGAACAACGGACTCTAACAAAATTGATAGCATCACTAGTCTAGCACTTTATGGCCATTATCTCAAAGTAAAACAACGGTTACTCAAACACAAGCACTGTAGCAAATTAACAGTAAACCTGGAAACTAATGCGATCACTGGCTAGTGGATGGGTAGCATATGCAGCATGAATACACTGGACAGACTGATGACTGGACAGACCGATGGATCATGTCCCAGAGCAAGACACTGTGATTTTATTATTCATCTCAGAATCATGCTCCGTTTAAAATTCACTCTCCTTTCTTTCAGCAATTCCTCGTTTAACCTTCAAGCTTCAGTTGGCCTTAGGTAACTGAAACCCTAGAAACCAAAATCAAGGATATATGGGAACCATAATACTTTCTCAGTAGAAGTTCGTATGCTGAAGACTAATAGTGGAGGAAGTAAAATTTCATAAAGGGTCTGGATATCCCACAAATCCAACAACCAGCTGCCAAATGAGGCCTCATGTACAAACACCTAACCTCTCCACTTTCAAATGAAGGCAAATGTTCCAGTTTCACCAGCACGCTTTTTGCATGTATGAAGTTGGTGTAAATGTGTGTTCATAGAACAAGGATTGGGGGGGGGGATTAGCATGTGTTCGATGCTTCTCCTTTGCTTGCTCAAACCTGAAAAGGCAGGGGTGAATTTTATTATCGTCTTTCCATAAATGTTTTTTTTTTTCCAACACACATTTCCCAAAGCATTGAAACCTCTCTGGGCTTGCTTGGGGCAGAGTCTGTTATCAGGGACCCACTAAGGATAGTAATTCCACCCAGGAGGATATTTGAGATGAACGCGAAGAGTTCACAGAGTGGCAGGAGAAGCCTGGGGTATGATCCATGCAAACTCAATGACCGCGCGGATGAGGTTACAAAGGAAACAAAAGCTGAGGTTAGCAGCACAACATCAGCAGACAAATAACCAGTCGCCACTGTGGGAGTCTTTCTTGTCAAGAGGATCTTGAAGCTGATACTCACCATCTTGAGTCCTGTAAGGTGTTGCTATATCCCTCCAGAACAGAGCAATCTCAATCCAGAACACTTTTAAGACTATCACCATGACATTGATGAGCATTAGCAGTATACTACATCCTGCAACTATGTAGTAGGTGCTTTTATGATGGACTATCAAGAGATGGAGAGAAGAGAAAAAAAAAACTATGATTAGTATTAATAAAATAAGACAGAATGGATGGGTACATGAATGTTGACATCCCTTGAAACCACAAGGCATTCTCACCCAATAAACCAACGTTGAATTTTCATGAATACTTTCAAAATCAACAAATCAATCGTTTTATCCCCCATACTCTGTGTGAGCCTTTAGACTTGCCAGCACACTGTTCTTAAAGGTTAAGGAGACACGCAGACGCGTGTAAACCCAAGTAAGATAGGAGATACTGGATTTCAACTGACAGACATTTTGAAGGGAGCTTGCTCTGTGCTGGAATACATGATGAAGTTTTCCTGTAGAATGATACCACTAAAGGATGGGGAGGATTTAAAAAGATGCAGATTCTCTGGCCCACAGAGGATGCTGAGGCCATATGCAGAGATGGGACTATGTATTGTGAGAACTACAGCAGTTCAGTTTGGAGAATTAGTCTAAGATGTGGTCAGGGCTGTGTTGGACCAGAAACTCTTGCGATGGAATTTGTCATAATATCAGATAATGGAGTATTGGAAATGAAAGTTCTTGTTACCAAAATTAATCTTGCGGTAGGTAGTGGGAGGCTTGCTTTTATGGGAGGAGATGACACATACATTTAACGAATACAATAGGGTAGGCAATTGAGGGCAAGATGAGGATCTGAACTCATGAAGTAATGAGAAAGGAACTGACAAGGTCAGCGTTGGTTGGCAACACAGAGGAGCAAGAGTGTAGTGAGACTCCTGGAGCACAGACCACGCCCTTTGGGGGTGGGGACAGGGGCAGATGTTATCTGGGGGACTAAGTCTGAGGAAGGGGCTCCCGGAGATCTCTTGCTTTCAGCGCGGGGACAGGAGAACATCCATGGGCATCCTTGGGACCAGGAACCTGCTGGTGTTCATCTATCTATGCTGTAAGCTATTTCTCCCTGAATAAACATCTATTGGGCCTATATGTTTCCCCCGATCCTTATTAAACCTCAGTACAAGAGTCAGTAGGTCAAGGGGCTTATTGCAGCTAGAGAGTAGGGACATAGAAAAGAGTTCTGCCAGCCACTGAGTATGTGTAATGGGGAAATTAAATTATTCAGTTCTATAAGTTCTCAAAGTTCCACTATTGAGATCTTCCTCTGGCTGTCTCCGAGCTTGGCCCCACATTTCCTGTTTCCCAAAACAAACAAGTGGCACGGCTCCCAACTTCAGGGCCTTGTAAGACACGCATACAAATCGAACATAGGACTACCAGTCATGGTATTCTTGGTAGTTTTAACCTTATGATCTTCATAGACGTATTAAAAGTGGTACTGCTTATATATGAATAGGAGGAGACTCGTAAGTCCGACCTGGGAAGTGTTCTTATATTTTTGGTTGTGAGCCTAGCCTTTAATGGCTGAGCCATCTCTCCAGCCAGGAAGCTGTTCTGTTTTCATCTTATTTGTAAGTCCCCATGCACAGGTCCCAAGCTTTGACATGAAAATCTCTACTGGTAGTTGCAAATTCCACTACTACCCCTGATGGTTTACCATCTGTGCGTATGCAGGACAATAAACTAAATACGTCAAATTCTGATGATGCAAACATGAGAAGAGAGCTCAAAACAGGTCAGAGGTTGCTGCCTCTATTTCTTTAGGTTTAAATAAGAACTTCCCAAGAAGTTCATTTGGGAAGAACTATCTAAAAGTCCAGCTGGATACATTCTAGGGAAGTGTGGGAAGTCTACTTCTGATAGCGACTCTTGCTAGTAAAGGACCTATGAGGATAGCTGAACACATTCAACAAGAGGCAAGACCTTGATTAAAGATGTCTACCTAAGTGCTTACAACTTTATAAAGTACAAGTAAATTTTCTCATCAATGACTAGACACAAATTCTTCTTGTCAATGTTTATAAACAGGAATGTGTCGTCTGTGTTGAGTGCTGAGTCTAGGATTACAATACTTGGCAATCACTCTGCCCTTTCTTCTTCACTTAGTGAGTGAAATTAATGGATAGTGGTGGCGATAAATGAAAAATTCTAAGGGAAAGTAACTAGATCTGCCCTGTGCATAGAAAACTTTGAATATGTGTATGTACTATGGTTATAGAAGACACTAAATTTGCACATAAGAGTATTTAGAAATATGTAGAGGAAGGCTTTTTAACTTTTTGTTATTAAAATTTAAGAAATACCAGAATTTCAGAAACAAAAGAATTCACTATGATAATCCAACAGCAATGGAGACAGTTTTTATTTAATATGCTGAGTTGCTGAAGTAATATAAACATGTTGATTTTAATAATAACAGGTGAATTAAACTAGAGAGTACAAAATCACACACACACACACACACACACAAAACAAATATAAAATTCCAGATAACACAAATGTAATTACAATACAAACATAAAGAGAAAATATTCAGAAATCTAGACAAAAGATACTATTAGCATAGGAGCATACGAAGGACATGAGGTCATGCTGGGGTGTGAGGAGGAATGTGGCTTCCCTTTCCCTGTAGAATTCACTGTTCCCACTACGGTCCTATAACACAGTCATCCTAGCACAATCATCAGGGCAGACGCTTAATGTCTTGCGGAACACAACAGCACTAAGAGTCATCTATGAGTCTGATCATCACAATTCTGGTCATCTGAAAATAACACTCCTTTTTTATATAAAAAAAATGTATAAGTCAGAGGCTAAAATCAAAACCAAAACAATACAGTAATACACATCTTTACTCCCAGTTCCTGAGAGGGAAGAAAGCAGGTAGAACTCTACAAGTTCAAGGCCTGGCTGGTCTCCATAGTAAAAAACAAACAACAGGCAAATAAAAATAACAAAAATCCCAAGTACCACACCAGGGAGAGACACAGCATGACTATATCAAATTGATATCTTACCTATCTTTTTAATCAATGTTTTCATCCAAGCCAATGTTCCAAATGTTGCTATCAACTTAGACTCAGTATCTCTCTCCCTACCCCACCCTCTCAGTATTTGAACGAAACTAAAATCTTTTTTTACATTGGTTGTATTGCCACTAGGGCAGTGGTGAGTATCATAAAAGAGAATGTTAAAGGTAAAAATACTTTCTCTCTGCTCCTTTCAGATGGAATCAAACTGCTCAGGGTTACTGCAGCTGCAAACTCAAAGACCAAGCAAGGTCATCGGTAAACACTCTGGATGAAAAGTTCGTAAGTTTTCCATGACAAGATTACACAAAGAGACGCAACAGAGTTACTCCCTCTTTGAACCCAGTGTAAGCACCGATGTCTCTCGGTGGACAGCTGAGGAAGCCTCTTGTAGGGCGAAAAGAAAGAAGGGAAGAGGGAGTGAGAACATGCAAAGGCAGGTGAAGAGTATGAAGAGGACTGTGGGGAGAAAAGGGAGGAGGGGGACTACCGGGAGGAGGGACAGAGTGGCACAGAGTCCTCCTGGAAAATGGGAACATTCTGGAAAGACCAGATTTAAAGAGCGTCCTCAAAAAGGGAAACCCACTTCATGAGACAAGCCAACTAGTCCCAGGAACATGATGGACGGATTCCCTGGGACCAAACAGCAATGCCAGTCCTCCTAGAAAGACAGCTGCAGCTCACAGTTGACTTGGCCATTTTAGTCAGGCTAAGGGTGAGGGACAGTCCTTACTTGGCTGTTTTCTTGTCAGATGCACAGTGTGTGTTATCATGCCATGGTGGTTGAGGGCCAGACAGTCATATCTCAGGGATAAATCCTTGTCTCTCACATCGGTTATTCTTAACACTGAGGTTAAACAACCCATGTCATTGCTGGAACTGAGAAAGTGACATTTTACTAATAGATTTCCTGGCAAATGCCAGCTGTGAGGAGGGGGGTAGGGGATGTTTCGACTCAATATAGAAATAGCTAGGCGTGGTGACACATGCCCCTAACCCCACCATTCAAGAAGTAGGAGGCTAGCCTGGTCTACACCGTAAGTCCCACGCCTGCCCGCACTGCATACTAAGACCTTGTCTCAATAAATAGGTAGGTAGATAGATAATAGATAGATTAAATACCTTTGGTTTTCTTCTTTCTCCTCTTGAATTCTTGCTTTACCAAGATGTTCAACATTCCTTTTATTAATCTGCCACAGGACATCAATCAAGAACTGAGACCCTTTCCCAAAGCAAGCTGAGCATGTGATATTCACTGTTTCTCCTAGATGGGAAGTGAAGAGGTTCACCAGGAAAAGTAGATTCTGCGAGTGGCATCGGTTTCACTCAATGTAGTAAACCTGCGGTTCTGCCCTCCTCATCTCCTCCTTCCTGGGCCTTCTTTGCTCTCCGCCCCCACCCCACCCAGTGTCTCCTTTTCCTCAGAGACCCATCACCCTGTAGTCTCTGGGAAAACTAAGCTTGCCCTAACTTCACAGCCTCACAAAATCATGAAGGCGTCGCTGAGGGTTGAAATGCGAGTTTCTTTTTCACTGGTCATTTCCATGTCTTTCTCTTCCCATGGGTTCCCCTTGTGGCTCCATGATCTGCCTTTGGAGATACAACCACTTCGCCCAGCCCAACTCTTATCCCGGATGCAATCATTCACAAAGAGTGACTCCCCAGTGCTCCATCCCACCCCGTTCAACTTGAGATCTTCTCCCTGAACTGAAAACAGCAGAGCTGAGTTTGGCCACAGGTATACATACACTCAGCCCTCCCTTCCTGAACTACAGGTTCCCACCAGAAGCTTGCCTAAAAATGAGGCATATAATTAGCAAAAGGACCAGAGGAACAGCAAAGCTGTGGAGGAAGGATTGGAAGCCACCACACTGCAGATGGAAAAGGCAGTCGCCAAGACTGGAGCTGAGGGTACAGAAACAGATGTTGTTCTTTGGTAAGGAAAAGGGTGGCACCGAGTCCAGGAGTGTGGGTAGAGTTATAGGTTAGAGATGGGTGATGAAGGGCACAGGACCCATCCTGGTGTTTCAGACATCAAGTCTTCCCCATTGTATCCAGCTTCCAATGGAAACCAACAAGAGAGGAGATATGGAGATTCATAAAATCATTACTTCTATTCTTTCGCTGTCACTCATCTATGACGTTGGGTGTGCCTTTGAGCATCTCTGAACCTGTTACTTAAAAGTAAAGTGAGGACACCTGCCCATTGGATAGAAGTGACCTCTCTACAAGAGATGCACAAATGAGAGCTACAAAATCCAAAGCTCAATACAAATGCAGTGTTGCATTCTGCTTTGATGGGGACAGGTGTTTTCACGCTGTAGCTTCACGTGATCCCCAAGTTTCCTTCTACTAATTATATTACACTTCTACAGGAAAGCAGACCCCAAATCATAAGGTAGTATTTTCCAGGTTAACAGAGGATGGTTTAACATTTCTTACTCATCAGTTGCGAGGTGGTGGCACACGCCTTTAATCCCAGCACTCGGGAGGCAGAGGCAGGTGGATCTCTGTGAGTTCGAGACCAGCCTGGTCTACAGAGTGAGTTCCAAGACAGCCAGGGCTACACAGAGAAACCCTGTCTTGAAAGAAAACGAAAAAAAATTCTTACCCATTTCCACTTCAATGTTTTTGTTGTGTGAAGGGTCTATAATCACTGGAAACCTAGAAAAGCCTTTTTCTGAAAATTAAAAAAAAAAAACAGAAATAGAATATACGTATTAATACATTGATTAGTCATCAATATAAGCTAGACTTTTCATAGCTGTATTTTATTTCACAGCATTGTGTCAACTGTTTTGAAAATAATCTTTGGCAATGCACACACACACACACACAATAAAACAAATATTTTGAGCAACACTTTTTTCTGATCACTGCTGACACATTTTTTTGTGATATCTCCCATTCTCTTCTAAATCATTAAGACAAATGCTGGTCTAACCCATTAGTTGTGTGGCTTAGCAATCACTTGAAAACCATGATTCTATAGGATAGGGAGAAAAGTACAGAGAAGAGGCAGAAAATAGACTCGTGAAAGCGATGTATTCATGTGTCCACCGCTGTACTGCTCACAACCCTCCACTACTGTGTCCATACTCGGGAGGTCTCCCTCCTACGGCCATTGAGGCTAAGACGGAGGGAAGCAGGAGGTCTCTGGGAGCACGGACGAAACCCTCGTTCCTAGGGGCTCATTTATTTCAGGGTGTGGAGATTAGGAAACTTTGCAGGAGTTGACATTAAACAGTGACAGACACAGACACAACTGTGGTCTGATGACGCAACGGAGTACTGGAAAGGCTCCAAACAAAACATTTCCTTCAATATTGCTTAGTCCTTTTCTTGTGCATTCCCACTTGGATTTGGAGATCCACACCCCCGCCCCGTCTTCTCTATAGAGGGAATTGTGCCCAGAAGGACTCAATTCTGTCAACACCATCAGATAAGATTAGGAAATCTCTCCCTCAAGTAGCTTCTGTAATATTGAAAATATATTTGGAGAGAAGGTTCTTTTCTAAACAAATGACCTGCTTTGAAGATGCTGATGATAGCAAAAGCATCGTAAGCCAGGACTGAAAACTACTCAGAAGTGTGTACAAAGGTCCCTGTGCCCTGTTACACTCAGGCCTCGGTATCTGTGGTTCCTACACCCAAAACTCAACTCGCTGTGTGCAGGCATTAGTTGTTTCCTTGGCTTTCCCTTGTCATTATTCTCTATGAGGCAGAATACCTGTTTATGCAACATTACACTGGTTCCTATAAGCAATTTAGAGATCGGGTAGAGCTTAAGGGAGGAACATCTGGGAAAATATGTGAAACAACCAGGGTATAGATATATGAACATTCCGGAAATCAGTCAAACAAAAAATAAGTAAATTCATACTGCGTTATCCTTGAAAATCCATCTCCAAAGGGGGGAGGGTTGGTGATGGCTATATACGGCTTTGGTTCAATAATATAATTTCTTTCCCTGGAATTCTCAAATCTTACTGTGCAACAGCAACTTCCTGTCACAGTGGAGTACACGGGTGAGGAAAAGACAGGAATAGATTATGGATAAAGGACAGGAGATGCAACGGGAAGTATTCAGTTCGCCCTTCTTGTCTTTGCTTTGAGTCTTGAGCCTTGTCGGCGCCAGGCGAGGGCGCTTACCTTCCACTGTGAATGATCTGGTTGCGGTCACGGTGTAATTGGTTCCGTTCTCAGTGTGTGTGAATTTACACGTGTAGTCACCTTCGTCCTCTTGTCTCACATCGTCAATGAACAGGTATGATCTGTGTGCCCTGTACCTGGGTCCTTGAAGAGCTCTGCAGTTCTGAAGCAACAACAAGAAAAACATTCCGTTTCTCTTCCGCTGAGCTCTTCACTTTCAGCTGCATCAGCTGCCAACTTAATCGTCCTCCCCAGATTTCAGCCTTTTACCTTGAACCACAGAACAGGCGCTGTCCAGTTATAGAGGCCAATTGTTGGACAAGTTATCTTGGAATTTTTTTCTGATCCAGCTACTGTTGAGTACATCAAATAACTGGGAGTGTTGCAGCCTGGTGGCTTTTTATGTATGGTGACATTCATGTATCCAGTCGTATTCAAGTCGGGACTATTGAAAGAAGGCAAGCGTTTAAAAAGTAACACAAACATGAGAAAGCTTAATCCAACTCTATCCCTTGCACGGTGTTGCTCTCGTAAAAACGATGATTACAGTTGTCTTACTGCAAAATAATCATCAAAACCTTGAGCTTTTAAGGACTTCTTTGCTACCCTTGAGATGAAGCAAACCTCGGAAAATGGCTTCACCTACTGTAATGCTAGGGTCCTAGTAAAATCTACGTTGGTGTTTGTTGAGCCAGGTGGAGAGTTAAGCATGCTTTGTGGATTACATCATATTATTCTCACAGGGACTTTTTTTTTTTTTTAATTTTTGGATCATGATACCACAATATGGATTTTACTCACGAGGAACTGAGAGACAGAGAAGTCACATGATGGTACCACACACCTAATTAGTAGGAAGGCATGGGTTGGAAACTGTAGTCTCCAAACCTAGGCATCAAACTATACCTAAGCTGATATGACACTTGGTGAGTACCAGAGATGCTGTGAAATCTAATCAAGGCAATTTCAGTTCAGACTGGGGGTTTTACAGACACAGACCCTGGGTCTCTGCCGCCTACCTCTTTGTCTCTTTGGGCTCTGGCACCTAAACCTTTTCACCCAACACAGATCTTTGTGATGCCAAGTGTCTGGGCTTCCATTTTTTTTATTCTAGCTTGTTCCTACTCCCAGACAACAATTATCCATTACTCATTGTTCTTGTGTCACTACAAAAGATGGGCATTTTTCCAATTAGGACACACACACACACACACACACACACACACACACACACACATGCCCTTGCTGTGATACATTCCGTAGCCTATCACCCATCAGGCTCCTGGTCTGCTCAGGCATACTTTCTTGTTTGAACCACTTTATAAATTTAACCATCCCACTGAGGGGCAGAGCAGAGAGAAAGCAAGCACAGCTGGGCTATGGACCATTAGCGTTAGTGAAACGGGAGCAGGCTCGTGATGGTTTCCTGCACCATACCTTCTGATGACGCAAGCGTACATCCCTGTGTCATCCGCTCTGGCTGGTAGAAACTTCAGACGATCTCTTGAGACAAAGATCCGATCTCTTTTTTGAGTAGGAATACTTTCATTTGTATTTGAGTAATACCATTCTACGGGATAGAGCGAGCCTGTGCTTTGGGGGCATCTCACAATTAAAGCCTCATTTTCCAGACCCCAGAATGGTTTACCTACAAATAAAGTACGGACACAATCCTGAAATGGCCATGTGAAAAGACCGCAGTTCTCTTTAGATAACTTCATGTCTCCATTCACGATTAGATTTCTAAAGAGATCATGTATCGTGATGCTTTGAGAAATAATAAGTCAACAATCAAAGCCTTTACCAAATGCACCACATGGTGAAATAGACTAAGGAATCAATTTGAGCTTATGTCTCCCTTTGCTCCTTGATGAAAGTACCTATATTTACCTGAACACACTGTCAGTCAATAAATACCCATAATGCCTCCCGCGTGCAGGCACGGTGTTAAATCTTGATTTATGTAACTCAATAATTGTGATCCACTCACTATAGGCGATTCCTTCTGAGAGATTTACGGTAAAGGATGAGTAAAAGGAAATCATTTTGTAGCACACAATTCAGCCCCAAACAACTAGAAGCAAGAAACTGAAATGCTCCAAATGTTCCCAGAATTACTTAAGTCAAAAAACGTACAGCTTATCTGAGAATCAATACTTACTGCTCTTCGTTACTGTGAAACACATGGGAACTGTCAGAATTGCCAAAGTCCAAAGCTCCATTCTCCGTTTATCAATTTCTCAACTGAGTGGTGGTGATTTATTGTTGAGGTCCCCTGATGGATTTATTGATGACACCAAATGGTAATTCACTAGGTTTTTGACGGATGCTGTCTGACTTAGGGTCCAGAAGAGAAGTCACTGTAGCCACTGAAAAAAAATAAATCATATAAATTACAAGTAAAATATTTATGCTGCCCTGCTTTTTACTTACTAAAGACCATAAAGGAAAGTCAGTCACTTAACACATATTTATTAGGTTCACTTATGCATGATAGTAGGTTTCAGATACACCATGTTGCCTACTGAACTCAGAACAAGAGAGCACCTCTCCCAATGACTAGATAATTTCACAGTCATGCCTTACCAGTCTCTTGAGCAATCCCATGAAGAAGCTAAATTAAGAGGAAAGAAAACAAATTCTTACAACTGAAAAAAATCAGAACCAGAAAGTTGAGTAGATGCTACAAAACACAGTTTTATGAAAAACCACAGCCATGTAGCAGGCAGCACACACGTGTCTGTTGTTTTACACTCCAGGACACGCAGATAACCATCACAAAAGCACTAAGGAAGGAAAATTTTGAACTAAAACCACCCAGAAACCATCCAAGACTCTTCTCCAGACTTCCAAAGAATTCTCACTGCTTTGGCTTGAGTCACGAAGGATTGATTGCTGGAGGTCTGAAAGCAATTAAACCCCTTCCTTTTCCTTTTTGATAAAAGAATAGGTTACTGTAGCTTTTTCCCCCCCTCCTTTCAGCCACTGGGGGAAGGGATACAGGTAGGAATAAATATGAAAATCCTTAGTAATTTCAACAGACCATATTTCTCTGAATTGTAGATGCTTTTTCTTTTACAAACCAGATAGGCATCAATTCTTACCCCAAATGAAGGGCTGAGGAGAATAAGCTCAGGGTACTGAGACTACCTTCGAGCCCTTGGTACTCGGTCCTCTCCTTCCTGTAGACTACCCATATGGACATGCTCCCTCTCTCATTTTAAACACACAGACATCTTGCAGTCTTCCTACCCCACCCACCATGAGATTTGAGTCTTAGCCAAAATCTGTGACTTGCTCAGAAATGCTGCTGTATCACTCACCAAGAATCCTTAAACTTACCACATAAATATTTTAACTGTAAGGACAACGTTAAAAGCCATTTCGGGAGAACTGCGTAAATCACTTCCCCCTGTTTTAGCAGCCCCCCACACACACAGTGTAGATAAATAATGCTATTTATTTCCTCCATGTCTCAACATTCAGTTCCAATGACACACACACCATTAGACTGTCCTTCAGCAACTCCCTGACACAACCTTTGGCTGACACCAGGCAGGAAGCACAATCAGCTTTTGTGGTGGAGGCAATTTCACAAACTACCACAGGCAGTAGGTAGGGAAGGGCAGGGACTCCGGAGGCGGAGGCGTGGGGGGGGGGCGTGAACCCTGAGATGCAATAGGACTTCATGCTACATGGGTGCTTAGAAATGTTCTACAAGAGCCGGGCGGTGGTGGCGCACACCTTAATCCCAGTGCTTGGGAGGCAGAGGCAGGCTGATTTCTGTGAGTTCCAGGACTGGTCTGAAAAAAAAAAAAAAAAAAAAAAAAATGAGTTTCTGGACAGTCAGGGCTGTTACACAGAAAAATCCTGTCTCAAAAAATACAAAAAGAAGGGAGAAAGGCAGGGAGGGAAGGAGGGGGGAGGGGGGAGGAAGGAAAGTAATGAAGAGAATGCTTTGAATTCTGCCCAAAGCATAGTCTAGCACCTCAGATTTCAGTTCATGACTCTCCGCTGGGATGAAAATAACCAAACCTCAGGGAGGTCATCACCTTTTGGGGCCTCACATAAAACAAATATCAGTGGTTGATTCTGATTCTTACTGTACATCATCATTGCCACAGCTCTATCTATTATGAGGCTCCTTTGAAGTCTTTACGCAAAGGAAAGATTGAGAACCATCCCCTGACCGGCACACCTACAGAAAAAGAATTCAAAATTTTATAAGAATCTCTTTTATGTTTTACGCAGGTCTCTGTGAGTCGCCTATATCAGCTCCTAGTTCCTCAACTCAACCAATGTCACACTGTCCTTCTCAACACATTACAAAACACAACACTGAGTCATTGCGATTGAGTAAGGGGTCCAAACAACACGGTACTAAGAGATTTAGAACCCAAGCAGGCTGGCTATAAAAACTAGCCCCCAAACTGAGTCCGTTGACTTCCTGAGCATGGAGGTGCGGCTACCTAGGAAGGCACCTCAAGCCAGCCCCCTATTGTTCCTTATGGTGGCTGGAAGCATCCCTGGCATTCTCTTCCAGAGGCTCAGTCAGCTCTTAGGTTGACACACTCTGCAAGGTGTTGGCTGGGGGATTGATCTCGAGCCTTGTTGGCTCCTTGCTTCTCTTGATTCTTAGTATCTGATCACATCAGGAGTCTGGGCAAAATCCAAGACTGCAGAATTTGGTACTATGGTCAGCATCATTCAAATGTTACAGATGAAAATAAGAGCATAGACTAGACTAGTTCAATAATTGAACCAAGCTCACTTGGTTGTGGCTGGAGTTAAAACCCAAGTTGTTGAAGCAAAGAAAAGGCACCTTCTTCTCTTTTTTGTGGGACAACTAAGAGAGGGGGTGGGGGAGGGAGAGAAAAGAGAGGGAGGGAGAGATAGGGAGGGAGAGAGAGAGAGAGGGAAACTATTATGGTCAAAATCAGGGTCACCAGCACTTGAGTTATTAGAGCAATAGCCAGGCTCCTTAAGAAGTAATAAGCCCTTTCAGCCTTAGTTTAGGTTCACAGACTTGGAAGGCAGCTGTTTGTGAATGCATAAACAACAGCACTCCTGAACACGGAGGGTCTCCAATCAGTCCATCGGAAGCGGTCCAGCACCTGTCAATCTTTCTGGAAAACGCCCCTTTGTGAAGTATTTTGCTTTCAAAATCAACCTGATAAAAAATCTAACTTAGTTTTGTACTAATTCCCTTGATTTTGGGTTACAGTTTTGAGGCTGTATGTTTCCAAACTGTCTGTCACTGGGTCCCCTGACATTTGTGCTAAGAAGAAAATTAAAACAAATCCTCCTGATAGTGCTGGGGGAGCAGCCAGTTCCTTCCATTTGGGCTGTGGCATGGGCATGTTTTGTGGCATGGGCTATTATGCAAAGCTTATTCCTGTGACTTGGCCAACAGTGAAGCTTAGTTTAAATTACAGATGTTATAATCCTCCCAGGCTGGCTATATGTACCCGGATCTTACTGTAAATCCACTGGAGGAGCTAGGAGCTGTTTCTGTCACGTCAAACCACACACACACATTTAAGCATTTTAATTTTTTTTTCTTATTTTCCTAATGAAACTGTGTGAAGCTGTCAGCAGCCAGCCACAGATCCCATAAAGCCAGGACTGGCTTCCACAACTGTCACCATAGGCAGGTGTACATTTCATCCTGGATCCCTTCATTCACCTGCTCCAGGACCACTCAATCTCCGTCTGACGCTTTCTGCTGTAGCTGGCACTCTGCCTCAACAGTCAGAAAAACAATCGGGAAGAGTAAAGGCTTCCAGTCTGCAGAATCTAACATCCCCTGTCCTCCAGCCTCGCCTCCTGGCTCCTTTGCAGCTTCTGCTTATATCAGCGATGAGCAAACCATCATTGGCTCAGGCAAAGTTCCTCTCAAGCCCATCCTACCTGTCATGTTTCCCCATGTCCTCATCCTCAGCATCATCCTGTACCTGGGCTTTGCTGACAGCTTTGTGAGAGTTTTCTGGAACCTCTACTCTGAATGCACAGGCTCCAGAGAAACCGTGAGAACCTCAGTCAAAGCCGCAGGCTCTCTGGTACCCTTCTACTTCAGCGAGAGGAAAAGCCACTATCCTACAGTGTCCATGTGGGCTCATTGATGGGATGCTTCCTGCCACCTCTCTAGCCCTGTGTCTTTCAACCCTTCCTACCGTTCATTCGAGGTTTAAGACGGACTCTGCTGTCCCCATGGCCCCTTCTCCCTGGACGCCTCATTGCAGTTACTCATGGACTAACTCTTCTCCTCCAACCTGGGTCTGATACCCTCATGTGCTTTCTCTCGCTGTGATGAGCACTCTGACCAAAAGTAACTTGAGGGATTATTTAGCTCATAGGCTGCAACCCATCATTGAGGGAAGACACAGAAAGAGCTCAAGGTAGGAATCTGGAAGTTGGTTGTGGAAGCAGAGGACTATGGAGGAACATGGCTTCCTGGCTTGCTTCCCCTGGCTTTGCTCAGCCACCTTTCTATTACTATCCAGGCCCACCCACCCACTGGGATAGCAAGGGACCCTCTTTCATCAGATAACAATTAAAATATCCCACAGACCAGTCTGATGGAGGCAATTTCTTAATGAAATTTCTCTCTTCCCAGGTGAATCTCGTTTGTATCAAGCTAATAAAAACTAACCAGTATCCCTGGGAACGACATCTTCCTTTCCTTCTCTTTTCTCTTCTGGTCTTCCTTTCTTTGTTTTCTTTGCTTCTAGTTTTCCTATGTATCTATTTAGTTATTCTTGTATGTACATATGTATGTATGTATGCATGCATACATGCACACTTGCATAATCGAGAAAGCATGAATGCCAGGAAATACTAGTGGCAGTCACAGAACCTCTCCCAGAAATCATTTCTTTCATTCCGATGTGTGGATTCTAGGGATCGAACTCAGATTGTCAGTCATGACAGCAAGAGCCTTTCCCTGCTGAGCCACCGCACCCATCCTTCTGATAGTTTTAACTCTTCAGTTTCCTTTTTTGTCTCTCCTGATTTTAAGGTAGATTCACACAACACAAAATGAATCAGCTTAACATGTGCCACACCTGACAGCTCCTTCACTGCATGGTACGATGGTCAACACTAATTGCAACACCTTTTTATCTCCAAAGTAAACCTTGTACCTATACCAGCCCTTCCCTGCCCTCCCCCTTCCTCATCCTCCAAGAGAAGCACTAACCCTGCACATGTGTGCATTTTGCCTAGTCTGGATACTT